ACTGGGTACAGGGTGTTGTGTTTACGATGATATCATCTTCCATTTTAAATTTTGCTCTGCTTTCAGCATTATTTACTTGAGGCTTAGGAGGTCGCCATACTGCATAGATGCATAAATATTTCCCTTTTTCTAATAAGATCTGATTTTTTGAATTTTAGAATTTTTAGAACTACCATAACTGTGGCTAAAAAGAAATATATACAATAGATTGTGAAGTTCTCTTCTCCAACGAAATGAACGCAAAGGTTCAGATTATGTAATTTTAGTACATGTATATGGGTGTAGATCAATGGTCAAGCACAGAGAATTTGTAGTTTCAAACAATATGAAAATGTTATTATATATAATGTATTATTCTAATGCAAATCGACAAATCTTGCGCTATCTAAGACAATGTGCCTCATAAGTTCAAATTTACAGTCATTGCATTGAAGTGGTTATTTTTTTCCGTTTGAATGAAACTTTTTGAGCCTTCTTTTGAACATGATGATACACTGTACATGTATGCCCATTTCTTCAGAAAAGTGAAAAATGTTTATATGTTCTTATTTGTTTAAACTCTAACGAACATTAATAATGTATGAAATAAATGACATGTATGAAGGTTCAGAAGTGCTTTTTTCAAGTTTTCATCTTTTATGAAGCTCTGTTATACCTATAAAGACAAATGTTCGATTTGTTTGTTTGTTGTCTCTTCAAGAATAAATTTTTCATTCATATGGAATGCCTCCACCTGCCGGTGGAGGAGGGCTGCACTTAGACTTTTACTCGGCCTTTGAGCGGTGAGGGATCTTTTTCGTGCCAGCATCTACTGCGACATGGGACCTCGGTTTATACGGTCTCATCCGAAGGACATGTCTCCACGTCCTGCAGTGGGATTCAAATATGCGACGTAAGGATCAAGTCCTTATTCGCGACTCTAGAGCAAACACTCTAACCACTGATGTCTTTATTTGCATTAAAATCTAAAAATGTCAAAAATATCTCTAGACAGCATACGAATATGTGCTTTGAAGGTGTGGTCCCTTGATTTTCAAATTGGTGACAGGTGCATACTTCAAATATTTCATAAACACAGAGCGCTGATTTGTTCAGAGTCGAGATCGAAATATAATGACCATAACACTGTTGTGTATATTATATGAATAAAGGTTGATCGAAAATACATGTATCTTTGTTAAACCCCTTGCTCTCTATGTTTTCTAATTAGAAGTTTGGGGATTTTGAATATGTTCGCTGACTTCATCTACATGCGATTAATGTCTTTATGAACCCAGGTCCTTAGCACTTTTTTTCTGAGTATAGTATTTTGCTATAGTAAATTTACATATAGACGATGGTTGCCCCCTTTTTTTTATTGCTGTATTAAAGGTGAGCACTGGCAAATTCCAGGATATGGACAGTAAAGCGTTATTTTGAGGGGGCTGGGTCTTCCCCCCCCCCCCACTTTTTGGACAGTTTAGATGGTTGCTTTTTTTTTTTCGGGGGGATTGCCTCCTCCCCCTACACACACTTTTGAAACCGTTGCTACGGGTGTGGACCTGTTGAGATTTAAAATAAGTCACTTGGATCTGTCTTGTATTGTTAACAGGTGAATGCCCCTGGTATACTTGTTTTAGTGAATTGCTTGTTCCACATCGGTCCGCATGGCCGTAGGAACCGGGGGGGGGGGAGGGGCACGGGGGGGCCGTCCCCCCCCCAATAATTTTGCCGATATATAGATTACTATAGAAAACATAGCTACTATATGTAATTTCGCCATGCAGAAAAACTACAACATATAATACTAAGATATCTAAACATGATATAAAGAAAATACAATTAAAAATGAAAAAATCCATTAAATTCTGAATCATAAGTATGTTTTCTTCCAAAATTACTTAATATTCTTTTGTTTATAACCAATCTTTATATATACGTAAGAAAAAGTACAATCTGCTTGCATATTGAACGGATTATGGATTGAATGTGGATGTGATTAACGGGGAAATCTGATAATTTTTGAGAAATTGTTAGCTCTTACTATCTTTTTAAAAACAAGGTTGGGGGGGGGGGGGTATCCAGACTTCAGGTACCTGTGAGAGAGAGAGAGAGTGGTGTCTAAAGACAATAATATTGCGACCAAAATTGCATGTATCATGTTGCTTCATTGTTTCAGAAGAAATGGGCGATTCATAACAGTCGTTCTATTCCAACGAAAAATTTACCTATTCAAGTTGAACAGTTCAATGCACATCATTATCACACTGTCACTCTTTAAAAACCTATTTGTCACATGACAAATACATTGAATTATTTGTTACAAGACTTATGAATGGAGATATTTTCTTTAAAAAACACTGTCTATACGGAAATTTGTTGCAATAATTATAGAGATATCTAGTTCATCATTACACTACAATCATCAAATATTATTGATAGATTGCATTTCTGACCACAGGGATTGGACAAGCAGCAAATACATGTAGCTCACCACGCAGATCAATAGTTTAGGGGAAATCAGATAAAACACGCTCCGAACCATTATATCTAGTCATATCTAACTCGATGTTCCTTCCAATATTTTATGGATGTCCTACATGTGCCACACCACCTGTGGTACCTTTTTTAAATACCTGTGCCCCAGAGCACTGGACTATACATGGCGGATTATCTTGAGGTTTTGAAAAAAGTCAGCCGACCGTGTGATTTGAACTATTGACCTTAAGCGTCTCCGGTCAATGGCTTGTTTGTAACTGTAAGAGGATTGGGTCAGTTCTGTTGTCAGATATTTAAAATTCTACCAAGTTTTAGATCCTGCGCAATAACACACTGGCATTATTTTTTGATTGACTATCTTATAAACAATTCTGTAAAAAATAAAAAAAATAAAAAATGGAGTATCGTTTTATTTTGGGAATAGTTTTTTGTGTCTTTCTACCACTAGTACAAGGTAAGTGGAAATTGATTTCTTTTTAACCCCCAGTCACCTTGATTTTTCTCATAAAGTAATTAAATTTGCTGTGTTTAATAAAAAGAAATTTGTAAACTTCAAATTGGACGTTGCTGAAATTTAAGAACGATTTGATTGAAACACTGTCAAGATAGTTTTTGATCGTAAAATTAGTTATTTCTCTGACATTTTTGAATGAAAAAAGATGATATGCCTACATTGTTATTTACTCATTTTATGTTAACTTGCCACATGTGCCACACTTGTCAAATATGCATAAAACGAAAAATATTTTCCTTGTCAAGATCCACCAACCCCCCAACCCCCCTAAAAAATTGAAATGCACGAAATTGATTGGTTTGTTTATTAATAAGAACCCGAAGTCAACGGAGAAATTCCCTTCGTCTCAACCCAGATCTTTTTGTCCACTTTCTAATGACTATTTAATTTTTTTTCTGTAAGCAGGTCGTTCACTTGAGTGGGAAAAGAAATCCAGTGAAAAGTAAAAAACAGCAAAGGCGACTGACTATACGACGAGTTCAAGATAAATAAAAAAGGGGGAGGCCAAAACAACGGCAACAACAAAACAAAGAGAAAATATGCGTTTCTATCTTTATTCGAGGGAAGGGGGTTGAGTTTGGTTTTTAGACGAGGGTTCGTTTATCCATGAAAAATAAATTAAATACCATGGACGAAACAGTTGTTACTGAATACCCCCTTTTTTCCCAATTTGAAATACATTTATTTTGTTATTCATACAAGTGTATAAAACCGAAAAGTTCGAAAATCATTTCAATAGCTCTGTTCCCTTTCAGTAAAATGAATTGTGTTTTGAGAGGCTATAGGTCAAAGGGAAACACCGGTTTGCACTCTAAATTTAGCTGTATTATAATAATATTGCACAACCAAGGTATTGCACTGTAATATTGCATCATCAAGGTATTGAATCTACAATCTTGTTATCATTAACCCTTATGTAAAGTAAACTCTGAATCTCCTAGAATATATCAAACAAATTACACTTAGACGACATAAACTTGTCATTAACGTATTAAGGTCGCACACTCCCGGTGAATCCTCCAAGCTTGACAAAAGTGGAAAATCTGCTGTCAAGTCATCGTCGGTCGTTAAAAATTAAGTATAAACGGATAAAAAAGGTTAGTGACCTACAACATTGTTAAGTGAGAATTTCTTCCTACTCATGTGCCACTTGACCTGATAGTGGTCATCTTGCCCATCAAGTTCTGGATAATCTTGCGCTCAAATAACCATAAAACCATAAATGCCTGAAGTGTTTACTTATTTAAAAGCTTGTTTTGACGCCATTAATTTTAGAGATTAATTAATAATATAAGAGAATAATTAACATATTCTTTATTCCAAGAGCTTTCTGTTTTACAGGCATTCTGTAGACTTAAATTAAATAATATTATTAATGATTCAAACATTGATTGTCAGTTATACAGTATACTAACTAGAGTGTTCAAGGAACACAGGTGTCGCCTGGTAAATAGCATCATAAAGATTAAAATAAATCCAAGGATGGACAGACATTTATTAGCACTAGCATTATAGCAAAGAAAAAAAATTCACCTAACTGTAGCACACGCGGGAGGGCACTTTTCTGAAAAAAAAAAAAAATTGATGTAGTTTTACTATTTAAATTCTCGTTTGTAAGTCCCCCCCCCCCCCCACTTTTTGTACGACCGAACACTGACAAATCCAGCATTTCAAATATGTACCGAAAATTTAGTGAAAGATCCAAACCAACTTAATAATACCCCCTTCCCTTCCCCCAGAAATAGGATTTTTGAGTTTAGGCCTTTCTTCTCTCTCTCTCTCTCTTTCTCTCTTGAAGGAAGACCAATATCATATAAAATCTGACAATCAAATAGAAATGCGATCCCCCAACCCTCAAAGCTAAAATGAATAATGAAATTATTAAAAATAATAATTTTTCATTGATACAAGTAAATACATGTTTAATCCAACTATCCCCCCAAAAACATTTATTTACTGTCTTTAGTACTTATGAATAATAAGATGTTTTTTTATTTTAATTTTTTAGCGCTGAATTCCGATGGCACCTGTAGCAGTGATAGCGACTGTCCACTTTCATTCTATCACTGCTGTTCCGGGACTATCTGGTGCTGTCCTTCCGGGTACATTTGTACCGGATCTGCAACCTGTATTAGTATCGGGTATGTATAGATTTACTTATATAAATTGTGTTGTTTTAAAGTTAGCCTGGTTCCCTGGCTCATCCTTGCCTAGTGTCGCGGAGTATACGAATTAAGCATAACAGGGACAGGGAACCAGGCTATTTAAAAGTATGCTTTTTATTAGGGATGTCAAAATATTTATTTTCCTTAGTCGATTTTATTCGTTTGTATTATCTGAACGATAGTCGAAATTTCGGAGCATCTTCTGAAATTAAATTGTATTTCAGACTTCACTGGTACATGACGTATTTTTAACTCAAATTCCCCGCCGATTTATTAAAACACTGTGATTGTCAGTAACCTGAATTTTCATAAATTCACAAATACCATTTCCGAGTACAATGACAATCTGGTGCAGACTTTTACTGTACAAAAGAGCCAAGTCTGCATTCAGAATATTGATGGGTAATTTATTACAAAAACAACACCGGTAGGCAGTAACTGACAAATAATTCTCGGGCAGTGAAGCACTTTGAATTATTGTTTTGTTGAAGAAAGTTTATCTTATCGACTGTGAGGATAAACGGTTTCTCAATTTTAAGATGGGATCATGAAACATTTTAAACTTAAGGTCAAAATATTTATGCTGAATAAAAATTTTGTAGAAGTCAAGCAGACCAAAATTAAAATATTTTTTCAATGTTGCTTCACAAAAATGTTATGATCAATTCAATAATATCCATAAACAATTTACAGTCGATTGAAAATTTGACTTAAGTCTAAATCTGTTTTATGATCGTGGCCAGAGAATTCCATCTTGTTATCGCTTTTATTGCATTTATTTAATAATAATAGTATTCGAAAGTCATTTCATTATTCGATCGTCGGTCCATTCGACTGAGAGTCGAATAGTCGACTATTCGTTGACATCCCTACTTTTTATAGTAATAAAATTAATGCTCAAGTTTATCTAATGTATGTGTGCATATAAGGTGAGATAAGCAAAAATCAAGGGAAAACTTTGATTTCGAATAAATAAAATAAAATCGGGGAACACTTATTAATCATTTAAAGATTTGATTTATAGGCGTGATCTAAATATAAAAAGCATGATAAATTACAGATTTTTTCTGAATGTAAATTTGGTGTTAAGACCACCCAGTAATATTAATTTCGAAATTTGAAAAGTTATCCAAGGAAAGTCATGTACAATATACCTCAGAATTGTACATTTTGTGGTTATTTTAGACTAACATAAATGTACATCAAAATTTGTAGAGAGAGAGAGAGAGAGAGAAGTCGGTATTGCTAAATATTATAGATTAAATGAAATACCCTCATACATAGATTATCTTCATTTTATTTTAATTGATACCCAGTATGCATCTACAAATGTAAAAAAAAAAAAATGTTGATTTTCAGCATATGAATTTAAAATCAATCGAAATGTTTGTGCTTAGAAGCAAGCAGGTTCTCTTCAATATAAAATATGTTCTATTTAAAGGATTTAGATCGCCTCGTTCATTTACCTCAGCTTTAAGATGGTATCATTGATCAAAATAATTCTAAAGCAGAATATTTGAACGCTTCATAAGTCTCTTAATCCCTAGATCCTTTATTGATGAAATTACACTTCACGTGTTCTGGGATTTGCGAAAGGTTTTATTTTCTGATATATATGTCTATAGGACAAATAACTAGTGTAACAGGAGAAGAGAAAAATACGACAGACCAGATCGGGATTCGAACCCGCGCCTCCTGAATCTCTAGTCATATGATCTGCCAACTGAGCTATTCTGCCCCACCGGCGATTGAACCCGTCTGATCGCCTCAAGCATAAATAATGTGTTGCTATCAACTTTTTATTTCAGAGTTATCGTTGGTCCTATCGTCGGTCTGATCGCCATCATCGTCTGTGTCGTCGTTTGCTGCATCTGCTACAGTAAGTCAGCTGTTATAAGTGTGATTATTTACATCCGATTATAATTGCTTTTGATAAGGTAGACAGACAACTTGATTTTTTTCATGTATAGTGAATTTTATGCAAATGTAAAAAGCAACAACTATTAATAACAATACTGTTATAAGGTTGAATTAAAATTAATGATTACGGTTCAGACGGCCACAATTTTAAAACACAATAACAAAAAATTTTTTTGTTGGCTGTCATTTATTGTAAAAAATAAAATTGAAACGCTACATTTCAAAAGATACATGATACATGTAACTTATTTATCAATAAATACTTGATACTTATCAACAGATTTTCAAGCAATGTGTATTCTCCGTTCTCGATATCGCCTTTTATTCAAATATTTTCAAAATTTACTAGGAAAAAGACAACAAACACCAGGTGTTGTATACAACCCTCAAACAACTCAACCTGGCTACGGACAACCACAGGCTTACGGACAACCACAGGCTTATGGACAACCCCAGGCCTATGGACAACCGCAGGCGTACGGACAACCACCGGCAAAAGCTTGAAATGTCTATGAGAGACAGAGAGAGCGATAGAGAGAGAGAGAGATTGAGATATTTTTACATTTATGCTTTTTTTGTTGTTTTTGTTTGAAAGATCATATATTAAATTTATTACATTGAAATATGAAGAGATTTTTTCTGTAGTAAATTTGCATGTATATTGCCTTAAGAATTTTATATTTGTATGTACATGTACTTGTTACTCAAAATTTTAATTCCATATTCACCATTAACATATTAAATTCATGTATTCATAACTTTAATTTTTAGCATACATACAAACAACCACATTAGGAAAAAAATTATCAAATATTGTGAATGTGCCTATAAAAACATTTCTAATAGTATTTCATCATATAGAATGTTGAAGATGGGCGAACAAGGCGTGCAAAATGCCTGCAGCTTCAAAAGAATAAAAATCATATTCCATTTGTGAATTTAGTATTTAGATAAAGTTCATTCTATTAAAAGGTAAGAAATTATGACAAACAAAACTTTTCTGCGGAAACTTCTCTCGGTAAAATTATTCTATTACTTAAAAAAGTGGTGTTCTTGGGATTCGAAACCAGACAATAGCTATCCTTAAAATTATTTTTTTTTGTTTGAGACGAACACGCTAACCACTACGCCACAACAAACAGATGAACAGAGGCATTGTACATGTAGTTTATGTTTGTGATATGACCATTGAGAAAATAGACTTAAATATTCGTCTGAAAGATATACGTACATGTATGCTGTGTTCTAAAAGTGTATTTGTAAGGTACAGTGTTTTTGACATGTTTTTGTCAACTGAAATATGTGTATTTTTTGGATACTTTGGGGATAAACTTTGAAAAAACGTTGAAGTGCGCGAAGACCCACTCATAAAAAAAATTTATAGTATGAAAGATGATTATTTTTGATCTCTTTAGTGGGTGTATGTTATTTAATAGACGAATAATTTTAATCTTTGTGAGATTGTTGCAAAAATTGTGAATAGTTTACCTTAAGTATACATCCGCAGAAACATGGCTGAAATTTTGCCGACTCGGCGTTAAACAATAAACAATCAATCAATCAACATTAAGTATACATTTAATGTTCAATGAACTATCAAAGAAAATTGTGTTCTATTTGAGATTTAAAATTTTCAGTTTCTTGTTTGTCGCATGACATAGGAATTTTTCTAGCTCGCCTTGTACGCCCATTTTTATTATTATTATAAAACGATCATATATGACATGTGAAGAAATCCATTTTAAAGAGAAGTTTTAGAAATAAAGGTTGTTTCTTAGTTTGTTGCGTTTGAGTGATTTATCTCAACCCCTCCCCCCCCCCCCCTTCCGCCTGTCCACTGTATAGTCCACGTTTTGTTGCTACTAAATATTTTTTTAAACTTGCGTCTTAACTTAAACTGCTAAAGTAATTTTCAATTTATCTGAACAATGACTGGGGAATAAAAATAAATTTTGTGATATTCTTTGACCCCCTCCCCCTACCCTTTTTCTTAGGAGTAGTATTAAAGAAATAAAATAAGTATCTTTTGTTTAAGTTTTCTTCCTTTTTCAGGTCATATACATATCGCAAAATGGTGTTCGTAATAGCACGAAATGATATTTAGAGAACCATCCACAAGACTTGCTAAGATCTACACATTAAATATTATTCTCAAATTTACCTTTTAACAAATTCTTTCCAGTCCTACCTTAAAGAAGCACCAACTTAAATTTTATCCGTCAGTGATTAGCGACTCCTGTGGATACTATCGAATTGTACTAGTTAGACAGAAAACACAAATTAGGATTGGCATATTGCTACACGAATATTATCGTTTTACTAACAGCGTGACAGTTTGCTTGTTGGGGCGTACTAAAATTTTTTGTGCTGATTATCATTTTACTCATCGATTGGATGTTTGATTTCAATGGAATCAATACTACTTTCCATATGAAACACAGAATCCAGCAATACCACTGACACTACTGACCAATCGTATTGAATGATTGTTCACTAGTATGCAGTAAACAACAATTGCATGTGGACAGACAAAGCAAGTTTTACTTCCTGTAATGATGATGTCGATAGCTATATAGTACAACAGTAGCAAAGTAGCCTTACTAATTCCGTTCTTTAAGTTTTCTTATACGTATTTAAAACTGCATCCGGTCAAATCACAACAAATATGACACATGTTTTTCGAGAATAGAAAACGGACTTTGACTGACCATGCACGTGTTGTACTGGTAAACCTTCATTCAGTGTGGTTGGCCAGTATTATCAGGACATTGTTGTATTCTGAATTTCATATGCAAATTAGTATTGATTTCATTGAAGTCAAACATCCAATCGATGAGTAAAATGATAAACAGCACACCAAATTTTAGCACGCCCCATCAAGCAAACTGTCATGCTGTTTGTAAAACGATAATACCATGTATCATGAACATACGGAATAAAGCCTTCGCCATATACTTTTCAGAGATGTAGCACGTAGGAAGGGACAGGAGGACCCCCCCCCCCCTTTAATTTTTTAATTGACATTCTAAATCTTTGCAAACCAAAGCCATTGGTACAGTATTGATATAATCCAATACTCTACATTTCACTTTCCTATTATCTAGCTTATTTCTAATAGAAATTAAACAAAACACGGAACATACGAGGAATGTTAGAAAAGTTCACGGACACATTGATTTACAGAAAATTTATTGTGTACTTTGAAGAATGACATATGTCTGATTAAATTCCTATCTTTTGATTATTAGAATGTAAAAAATCAGGTCTATTTATTAAAATTTTGAAAAAATGCAATGATTTTTACTGTGCGGTCATAGGATTCATGGAGCAATCACTTGACGTTAGGTGAGGTGACAACCTGATTCCAAACCTGTTAAGCTCTTTCACTGTTCTAAATTTCTTTCATTTCTATAGACTCTTAATGTCTTTTTCCTATTTAAAAATTGCATATTAACTATGGCAAGATATGTTACTTTTTCCTAAAATGTCTTGTAGCATATCGGATATTAGTGAGATCTTAAAATTCATGCCTACGCAGTTACATGTAAGCGATCTAATCGCCTAGGTATGAAAACAATACAAAATCCAAAAGCACAACGTCCATGCGATAAGCGGGGTATTGGTGTATCACAGGAGTTGATCATCAAAATGTCAATCCTTGCATTCTTACAAAACACTACTGTTTGAACGCTTTGGTCCTAGATACGTGTACGAAGTCTCCAGCAGCATCCAAAAACATTTTAGTCTCCTTCGGACATTTTCCTGTCTGTAGACATAATTTTTTAATAGCTCGGTGTCCAAAACGCTAAATGACGTTGCTATTCTTACTTTGTTTTTCACGCATTGATCATGTATAATTAGCGATAAAACAGTCAAATTCCCTCCAATCCAATTCAAAATTTCGGCAAATGACGTTTTATGAATATTGTATCGACAGGTGAAATTTCACAAATCTTTATGCGCTATACAACATTGCAATTCTTAATTTCGCAAAAATTCTGTATAATGTAATGTGCGAAAAAGTGACATGCTCAGTGAGGCATGCTTTATCTAAATAATATACCTGTAATTGTTTTTAAAGATTATCGGAAAAAACCAAATTTCTGCATATTTATTGGAAAATACGTATAGGTTTTAATCTCCAGAGGTTTACTAGTTTCATGAAAATAGCGCTTTCTCTATAGAACTTGTCCGCGAATTTTTTTAACAACCCTCGTATACGTGCTAAATACATATTGGTGCATATTGTAGTCCGTGACGATGTTTGTTGCGAACATTTGCATATTTTGTCGCAAAAGCATTGTAAGAATTATCACTGGGGTCAAAATATTTTGATTTTAAAAATATGATATAAATTAAAGATTTTACAGCGAAAGGGAAAAAAAATTATGAAACACCCAGTATATTCTTGTTTGGAACGCCATTTTGTTTTTTTAACGTCATTTAGGTCCTACCTTTCCGTTATCGAATAACGTACTGGGAAAAAATTACAAGTTTCTTTCGAATCAAAACCCTCGGATCCATATAATAAGTTTTTAAGGTGTATTTCCTGGCAGTTATTAAAAAAAAGTCTACGAAAAAGCAACCTACTTGAATTATCGTGGATCACGATTTTTGAGTTCTTGATGAAATTTTAAAAGTCCCGTGAAGAAATCCATCAGAGATACCGAACAGCTACCTATTTTTTTGTTTATTCTACAAACAAGTTTGGTAATGGAACAAATGCATTAATGAAAAACTCCTATGCATGTATAACGATGTTTACAATAAGTTGTTTTAGAAAATGTAATGCGCGTACGCACTACAATACAGAGAATTATGCTCTATCGCCTGTAAGTTTTGTGTTCAACCAATACACCTACATTCATTTGCAAAATTAATAGCTTCATTTCAAGACAAAATGTTTTGTTGCAATATTGTGATATATATGCTATCATGCAAAATAACTATTTAAAGGAAAATAATGCGTTCACTTGATATGTAAGTTGAGTTTGAAGTGCAGTGTACTGCCCTTTTTTAACCAATACATAACATACATCTACATCACAAATAAATAATTATGTACTTAACAAACAGAGCGACGTATAATGTAATCGTCAAACCATATCAACTTTAATTAATTTTTTTCTACTTTATTAATACGCAGATAAGATGACTTCACCTTGAAAATTCCACAATAATGATCCGTGTGTGCAGCTTATTGCGAAATCAAGCCATCGGTGTTCAAAATACAGTTCGACATTAAGAATGGATACCTACAAATTTGTGTTGATGATTCTAATATTTGGTTTTATTTACTTTTTTACAGTAACAGACGGTAAGAATTAGTCTTACAAATTTAAATTTAAATTTATGCTTAATTCAAATTCATTCATCGCCTATATCTCGTAAGAAATTTATGAACCAGTTATTCAGAAATTATTTAACTTTTTGTGATTTGAAGTATGAATTTAATTGCATTTATCACCATATTGTGATAAATGCTTTTAATACCAGTGCAAGAGCGATAATTCGTGCCTTCTTGGTAGTGGTTAAACATTATTGAGACCATGAGGTATAAATAGAGGATGCAATTTAATCAAGCACCTTATGACCCCGATTTTCATAGTCTACCGAAAAAGCTAGAACTTAGAAGGGCAGACATGTTGGAAAATTTCATCTCTAGTCTGCACACTTTGTCTGGAAAATGTTTTGACCCACCGTTCAGCAAAATTATTTCCATTTTTGTGCATTATTTTGTTCCAAGGATACGGTTTATAGACACTGTAAGTAATTTATGCGAACAATAACATGATGCCCTAAAGGCTTGAATTTATAATCGTTGCACTTTGTGGTATCTGTGACTGTACATCATGCGGTGATGCTGAGGATAGAATGACATTGAAAGTCCTTATTCTGGGGCATTCATTTATACGCAGATTTGAGAACTTTGTTTGTATCAACTAGTTCTGACCATCGGGTGACGCCGAATTTAAATCTTAATTCAGAGGAGCTACAGATTTTCTATTTAGGTTATGGGGGAGCGTCACTGGCTCAAATTCGTGCGCAAGGCACTCGTTACGTAAGAGAGATGTTGTTTTGTTACAAGCTGTATCAAACGATTTGTGTCGGAGAAACACATCAGTGGAAGACATTTTTCATGAACTTGCAGACTTTGTAATTTATCTCCGTGATGCGGAAGATGTGAAAAAAGTAGTGGTGCTTCAGACATTGCATAGAATTCCCCCGACAAGACGTATCAGGTTTCATGTGGACACAGAGTGCAAGAGAGTTGATGAATTAAATAGACGCATGTCCTATTACTTGCAGAATGTAGAGGGAGCAGCATTCTTTCGCCTATCTGGTTTATCCAGTTATCATAGTATGGTATTTCTGGCGGATGGGGTCCATTTGAATAATCAGGGAAATAAGGAATATTATAATAATTTGAGAGCTGTTATTGTTTCCTTGATAAAGTCTATCAATAATGGTGGGTACATGTTTGTGCAGCATTTATATTTAGTCTAACGATACATTTTTCAATTTTCATTTGTTTATTTTCAAAATCCACATATGCAGTGGTGATTTAATGCAATCTAATATAATGATGCATATAGCCATATAAATATTATATCATTTAATTTATACATTTATGACACCCCCGTAAAGTTGGGGTTGTTTAATTGGATCCTGTGTAGTATTTATTAACAGCTAATTTAAGACTAACCATAAATTTTAGTTTTAGCAGGATTTTACACCCTATATGGTCGGGGTTTAGTTTTAGCAGGATCTTGCACCCCTATATGGTCGGGTTTGAATTATAGCAGGTTTTGCACCCCTATATGGTCGGGGTTTACTCAAGCAATATCCTGCACCCCTATATGGTCGGGGTTTAATTTTAGCAGGATTTTTCACCCCTATATGGTCGGGGTTGAATTCAAACAAGATGTTGCACCCCTATATGGTCGGGGTTGAATTCAGACAAGATGTTGTACCCCTATATGGTCGGGGTTTTATTTAAAAGGATTTATCCCCCTAAATATTGGGTTTGTTTAACTGAATATATTGCATAAAATGAATAAGATACATGTATTCCAATAGTGTTGAGATTTCTAGAGGTTTCTTATCTATAGAATTGTCAATGATGTAGATATTTTTGGAATTCTGCATATATAATCACCTCGGATTTATAGAGCAGAATTTAAAATATAAACAGAAATGATATAATTTTAGACACAGTTATAATACACTCCACTGTCATTTATTCTTATCCGGTGAAGTATCATAATTGCAAATAAATGTAGCTGTAAGGTTAGCTAGAATTATATTACCAATATGGATTGGGCATTAAATGATTTAGATTTTAGATATATCCAATGATATTAAACTTCATGGAGTGTATATTTAATTAAGAATTAAGAAATTCTGTTGGTACCTTCATTGGTCTTTAAGAGCTCTGAAATATTTTTATTGATAATGTTATTACATAGTGTATATTACATAGATGATTTTTTATTTTTACAGGAAAATTGGGTGACACTATTTGTAAACATATGCTAGATATTTTGCACTAGGTTTGTGTTGAACGTGGAATAGCTAATGACAAGACCGCGGAACTCTCATCAGGTTTGACTCTAAGGGATAGAATGGAGACATTTATATCTATGCTTAATAGTTTTACCTCAAGATACATTGACTGAGCTATGTAACAATCCCAGGATAGGTGTCTAGAATGCTAAACACAAATTAAGTAAAATAACTAAAAATAAAAGTAGATGAAGTTATGTAGCTGATTTTCGTAATCTTGATAATCCGCTCCCCAGCCAAGAAGGATAACTCTTTAAACAAAAAAAAATGATCATTTAATCAAAAAAGACTCAAATTAAGCTTGAAATTCAATCTTTTCGTGCAACAATTTTTATTCACGCAACTCAAGTTTTTCGTAGTCTGGAGACTGGGAAAAGTTGACATCTGTGTCCCATAAAAGTATTTAAAAATCTTTGGATAAATCGAATTTCCTTCAAGCTTGCTTTGTTAACCATGATGTGAAATTTGAAGTGATATTTGATGTCTTCCAACGATAGCACATGCTTTTTACACTACAGGTATGTGTTATATAATGATTGAAGAAAATATCAGAACTAAAATACCATTATGATATGAGTATTAATAACATGCAATTTTTTTTTTCCAAACTCCGGAATACCTATAAATGTTTATTCAGGTACCTTTGGCTAACAACAGGTTATTATTGCATACTGACAAGCAATCGGTCGTGCAAATAGTCAATTCTGCTAAGGTCAGACTATTGGTTAGAAACTTGTAGTTAATATCACTTATTTCACTATTATATTTAAGCAGAGTTCATTAGTTAGTTATTATATCAAATTAAATTGCAGATTCTATTTTGCATTGACAGTGGCTTCATTTTTGGGCTTTGGGTCCTCGTGCATCTCAGGTCAGTATTGGAAACAATAAGTTTCAATAATTGATTCACACCTTTTCAACAATGTCACATTGGCATCATTAAGCTAGATGGATGAATAAATCATTAACAATAGAGTCTGAACTTGGTACACCTAGCCATGGCCAATTTTTGGTACATTTCAATGGTAATCCCCTAACTACTAACGTGTTATTAGTTATCAAACCCTAATTGCAATACTATTCATTTCTGTAACATAAACAAATACTTTTTAGATCACACTCTTTTCAGCAGCAGTATTATAGGGCATTCCTGAACAAATTATTAAACAACTGGGCAGGTGGAATCCATAACTATATATGCCTCAAACATTGGTGTGAGATTTGTATAATTAAAATATTATAGCTCAATTTTAATTTTGGCTTAAACGTATTATACATCTATCCATATAAAAATTTTAGTTTTTGTAGATTGTGTGTAGTCTGGGATATGGCATTCATAGGATACTGAGCTACCCAAAGTGACACCATTTGTCCTTGAGGAAAAAGCCCTCAATTTGATTAAAACAAATGGGTTTGGAGTCAGGGAAATTAGATTGAAGGAATTTGACTCTTTGTTTTAGAATAAATTAAATTGCACTTGGGTGGTACATTAAGGTTGCAAGGACCGGGGCACCTCGCCTAGATCATTATTGCTTCATAGTATGGAATGTTCCTGCTTATGCTGCAAGTTATTAGTCCAAAGTATGTCAATTATTTGGTCTGATATAAGTTTAATCCAAGATGAGTCTTGATTTATTACATGGAACAACTAACAAGTGTCTATTATACAGGAACACTTATATAATTTGAAATTTAAAGGTCAGGTGGGTGAAATGGAATGAATTAAAAACTAACAGGTATACACCTAACACGTTAGTGGCGGGTGAACTTGTATAGACAAGTTCATTTGGCGGAATTCGGGGATTACCACGAATGAGGAATTCTCTCATGTCTGGCTCAAAACTCTGGGTAATCTATCCTCAGTACTGGGGAGGATTAATTTGGGGTTACCTCAGCGGTACCTGAGGGACCAGCTTGATCTTTGTGGGTACCAAAGGCAAGTTTTGGGGCCTACCCCTGGGGGTATTATCCCCAGGTTGTTGTTGTATTCCAGGGGAGGCAGGTATAGAGTTAGGGCCCGAGTCAGAACTTGAATTCATTCATTTGATGTGGCACTCACTCTTGTTGGTACCAAGAGATCTGTTCCCACCACAGTCACCTGTGGGGGCGCTATCGCGCCAAGGATCTAGGGAGGTCATCCCGGTAGGCAGGTAGTGATTCCCTGGGTTCCGCCGGGGTATTTACATCTATGTATAAATAGATTGTGACAAATAGTCGCCACAAAATGTAATCATTGTTTCACAATAAATGTGTAGAATTAATATTTGTTACTATTCATTGCATCTGGGATTAATTGCATTTATCACCATATTGTGATAAATGCTTTTAATACCAGTGCAAGAGCGATAATTCGTGCCTTCTTGGTAGTGGTTAAACATTATTGAGACCATGAGGTATAAATAGAGGATGCAATTTAATCAAGCACCTTATGACCCCGATTTTCATAGTCTACCGAAAAAGCTAGAAGGGCAGACATGTTGGAAAATTTCACCCACCCACCCTTCCCTAAAATATGTGTACAGATTTTTGCTGCTTTCTCTTCTGTAATTTCAGTGACAGAAGCCTATTCTTACATGGAAAGGGATGTGTATGTGGAACACCCTCGCGGTTGGAATCATTAGCAAAGAAAGGATGTGGTCATTATGTATATGGTGGGACCATTTGGTGTCAATTGGGCATTTTCTGTTGAAATCAATGTAAATGATTCAATCCTGAGTTTTATTGGACATTTCTATGGTGTGATACATAATCAGTATTTCAGTGAAATTGGTGATCATTGATGATTATGTGTTTACGTACAGTTTTACTGTACAGTGTTACTTTTAATAAGTATTGTAAGCAAGTATAGCTTATAAATATATATTGAGAATTTTCTAGCTTTGGGATTATGGTAAAGTTTCTTAAGTCACAATCTGGAGATGGGGGCGGCGGAATTCGGGGATTACCACGAATGAGGAATTCTCTCATGTCTGGCTCAAAACTCTGGGTAATCTATCCTCAGTACTGGGGAGGATTAATTTGGGGTTACCTCAGCGGTACCTGAGGGACCAGCTTGATCTTTGTGGGTACCAAAGGCAAGTTTTGGGGCCTACCCCTGGGGGTATTATCCCCAGGTTGTTGTTGTATTCCAGGGGAGGCAGGTATAGAGTTGGGGCCCGAGTCAGAACTTGAATTCATTCATTTGATGTGGCACTCACTCTTGTTGGTACCAAGAGGTCTGTTCCCACCACAGTCACCTGTGGGGGCGCTATCGCGCCAAGGATCTAGGGAGGTCATCCCGGTAGGCAGGTAGTGATTCCCTGGGTTCCGCCGGGGTATTTACATCTATGTATAAATAGATTGTGACAAATAGTCGCCACAAAATGTAATCATTGTTTCACAATAAATGTGTAGAATTAATATTTGTTACTATTCATTGCATCTGGGATTAATTCAAGTTTATTTGTTAGTGCGTTGTTATTTATTACTTAATAATGATATCGGGACAAGAGAATCTTATGTAAGTCATGGATATTTACAAGGAAGGGACCAATCATGAAGTTCTATGTGTTATAAATATTTTACATATTTAAATTAATTATTCCTAGTAACCTACTTTACACAACTAGAATGATTCCATTAAAATATATTTTCTAGGGGAACTGTGACACGATTGCGGTGTTTTCTTTGAAGTTTGCTGTTCTGTATTAGCAATACAGAACGGAAATACAGTGGGCGGAGCTACTTTCTGTTCTGTATTAGCTCTGTATAGTGTCTTGTATTAGCCAACTGTTCTGTATCTAAAATACAGCACGGTCTAAAAATAGATCTGATTCAATTTATGAAAAGCACGTACAAATAGTTAATGCTGATTTTATTCCTATTATAAATTTGAAGAAAAATTTCCTTAGGAATGTAAAATGCAAAATTTCTTAATCACTTTTAAAAAAATTAATCCACACAGAATCTACACGTTATTTCGATCCAAACGAAAAGGAAAAATCGCAATTATGGAAAACATCCCTATGTTGGAGAAATTCCTGAAAACCTGTTTGCTTTCCCTGATTTTTGTTTCCCCTTTAAAATAGTAAAGCCTATGGGTTCGCGGATGCAGCATACATTACGTGAAATTCGCACCCCCCCCCCCATTTTCCACTCTTCTTGTGTAAACTCAATCAAGTCTATTTTTCAGGATTTTTTTTAAAATTTCATGTTAAATCCTTATTGCTGACGACTGCCGCACATCTCTTTCACTTCGTTTTTAATGTCGCATTTCAATAAGAAAATAAAAATCCGTAACATCAAAGTCCATCGAAAAACTGTCTGTATCGTCTGTATGTGTATCTATAGTTAACTGAGATTTTAAGACCCCTGAAATAAATTCGGATCAATCTCCATTTACAACAAGGTTAAATCGTCCACCTTATCAATTAAGACTGACTTCGAGTCTGTTACGTCTACCCCGTTGTCAAAACTAATCTGACTAAATCTTACGTTGTCCGTGAAAATATATATATACTGCGGATGTATACTCCCCGTCGAGGCCTCATCTACAGAAAGAACAAACAAACTCTGGCGGAAGTTTGGATGCTGCACAGGTATGAAGTGGGCGGTGCTTTTTTTTTTTTTTTTTGGATTGATCGTGTCACAAATCATATAGAGAACTCGTGCTACGCACTCGTCCACCCCAAATTTGTATCTACGATACACACACACACACACCTACACACCCACACCCACACCCACACACACCCACACACACACACACACACACACACACACACACACACACACATATATATATATATATATATATATATATATATATATATATATATATATATATATATATATATATGTAACGGAGCAGCAATTAACACAAGATGGTTTCAATGTGATGCTCTTCATTACAAGGATTATACTAGTATCATCTTGTGTTAATTGCTGCTCCGTTACAAATTTGGAGCCCAACGTTGGCCAAATTTCATATCAGGCAATAGCAAATTCTACAGGCTATTAGAAGATCATTGAGAGGTCAGACTAGCCAGATACCCATGAGATTAGGTCCAGATGCAACACTAAGCCAAGTCTTCGAAAAAATGGAAAGCATCCATGGAACTGTGGAAAACGGCGAATCATTATTAACTCAGTTCTACAGTGCTACTCAGAAACCCGATGAAAACACTACAACATGGGGATGCCGTCTTGAAGAGCTTTTAAGTAAAGCAGATGACAAAGGCAAAGTTCACCACCAAAGATGCTGATGAGATGTTGAAGACCAAATTCTGGTCGGATTACGACAAGATTTCAAAGATATATCGGGATATCTATATGATAAATGTGATACATTTGATGAATTGAGAAAAGAAATAAGACTTATTGAGAAAAAGCACCCTAAAGATAAGAAGAAATCATCTTCCAACATGAATATCACATCAACAGATTCAGTAACTTCATCAAATGAGATTTCAGAACTGAAAGCTATGATCCAGAAATTATCTACCAAGGTTGACTCACTCGAGAATCGGAAATACCCACAAAAGCAGACAAATCAATTTACTCAAAGGAGGATTGACCCACAACCATCTACTTGGTACAGCAGGGGAAGATCGAGAGCAAGACCACTCACTCAATCACAGGATGAGAGGTATGGGCAGACAATCATCTTAAAGCAATGATGAGCCTATATGCCGCAGGTGTGGGCAATCCGGACACTTAGCATATGGATGTCGAGTCAATCTAAGCAGAGAAAACCTAGCTGATTTAAATAAGAACAGGCCTGTGTTAGAGGGCAGACGCTAGGCCTGCATCATTTTAGCCCCCCTATCAATAAATCATTAACTTTAATAGGAGACGCAACAGAAGTAAATATCAACGTGGAGAATACTGCATGTAAAGCTCTCCTAGATACTGGGTCTACTGTGTCTATTGTAAGCGAATCTTTTTATCGCAGTAACTTAAACCATCTTATATTACATCCAGTTACCAATATACTTAATGTGGAGTGCGTAGATTGTCAGTGTTTACATTATTCAGGATACATAGAAGGGAGCATTACTTCCCTTGGCATACCTTCTCTTGAAGAGCCATGCCCATGTTTACTCCTTGTCGTCCCAGAGAATACATACAATAAGGAAGTACCAGTTCTTCTTGGCACAAACATTCTGCAGCATTTATTGAACAATCTGCAAGATAAATTTGGTAGTAGATGTCTGCAAGAACCAAAGTTACATACACCATGGTACCTGACTTTGAGATCCTTACTACTCAGAGAAAAGGAATTACAGAGGCATATGAGAGAATTTATTAAATTATTTAAGTTTGATATAAAATATATAAAATATATAATTCCGCGAATTCAACAAACCGCGATCGTGTCAGAGGAGAGAAAACGTGAAAATTACAACCCGTGAAATTAATCCCATATACAGTATTTTATGACCTAATTAATATGTAGCAATTATCTGATTTTATGATGACAATTGATTCTGCTGTTATATGTGATATCAAATTTTAGTTATTGTATTTATATTGTTTTGCAGAATCTGGTACTAGTATAATCCTTGTAATAATTAACATCACACTGATAACGTATCATTATCTATCTTTAAAGCAAAGCTTAAAAGTTGGGGAGTAACTAATAAACCATGTAGGTACTTTAACTTTGGTAATAGAAAAGAGAATATCTTACATTGTCAGTTGCGAAACAATGCTAGCAATCTCAATGCACATTTAAAAAATCATTTTTATCAGACGTACAATCATGTCAAAAATGTGGATTTTATACAGAGGATACTGAACATTACTTTATCAAATGTCCATCATATATTGTTCAAAGAAATTTACTGGTAAAAAAATTAAATGATATTGATGTTGTTTTTGAACTCGACACTCTGTTAAGAGGCAAAAGTCAATATTCCTATCAAACAAACTGTAAAATATTTTCATATGCACATGAATTTATAAAATCTACTAAGAGACTTAGTTGAGTACACTATAATATTAAATACTCTGTTGAATGTATATATATATATTATTTTTACAATATTCATATGAAAGCTGGAACAGTATGTAAATAATTTGTATACAATTAGGGGGTTATCATCTTTTTTTATGATACTGATGAATAATACTTGATTATGAATCTTTATTTTCCATTATTAGCAAGTTTATTACCATGTTCAAGTATTATTATTCAATGTCTATGTCTTGACCTATTATACAAGGAGAGGGTGTGCATAGGCCTTGCCTGTTGCCCAATCCTTATTGAATTACTCAATAAAATATGTTTAAATTAAATTAACATCACACTGAAACCATCTTGTGTTAATTGCTGCTCCGTTACAAATATATATATATATATATATATATATATATATATATATATATATATATATATATATATATATATATATATATATATATATATATATATGCCCTTATATTGAAAATATGATTCACTCTTGATAAATTTAAATAAATGTTTAACTATAATAGCCACTCTTTCTATAGAAATATACTAGTAAGTCGTATCATTAATCATCGCCTGCTATCAAGCTATCAATTTATAGTCATTTTTTTCTTTCTCCACTCTCCATATGATTAATCATATATGTATGTATACATTTTTAGGTTACGAGACGTGTTACTCAGATAGTCAGTGTCCATATTTAAGCCACCATTGCTGCACTCGTACATTGTACTGCTGTCCAAGGAATACTGTTTGCACAGGCACCATCAAAAAACCGGCATGTCATGGTAGTTTATGGTAAGGAGATTAGCTATAGAATGCTAGGATACTTGACATTTTTTTTTGGAAATAGAAAATACATGCAAAAATCTTATTTATCAAATCAAGAATACACTGGCAAAGGAATAAGGGTTACTTAGGGTCTTTTTGGCCTTGTGAATTTCTGAAAAATCTAAACTGCTCAGTTTTAGTTGAAAAAAAAACCCCATTAAAATTTCATTTGGACCATTGATGTTTGCATATATATCTATAAAAATGACCGCAGTTTTCTCGCTAGTCCTTGTGTATGACGTCATAAATTGTGTCATTATCCTCAAATCCTGCAAATTTCTTTTATCCTCTTACTGCCAGAACTGTGTCAAAATTGTGCAGTTGATACGCCAGAACTTTCTTTTAAAAGTAACAGAATGCTTCTTAATATTTTTTTTCAATGATAAGCAACATCCTAAAGATTAATTCTTGATTGTAATAATTTTATAACTAAGAAAATAACGAACACAATGACATTTCAATTTCTGAGTTATGACGTCAGTTCCTTTGCTAATATTACGTCACAGTCGTAAAAAATCCGTGTAATATGGCAAAGTTAAAAATTATAATGTAAAAGAATATGAAAAATAAGAAACGTTTTTAATGTAATTAATTAACTGAAAATGATTTTTTTTTTTTTTTTGGCTTTTTTGACCATTAGCCGTTTAAAATTACGACTTGTAAATGTCTCATTTAAAGGAGAGAAGGTAGCAAAATTAAAAAAAAAAGTATTCTAATTATATAGTCAGCACTTTTTTAAGGAAACGCTGCTTCCTTTTGCTAGGAAAACGTTATCTAAATAAGTCCCAATCTTCGCCTATAAAAAAAGTAAATGCATGTATTCTGTATAATCTAAATGATTTGGGATACAAAAATATTAAGATAGCTCTAACGTTACCATGCATTTAAAAAAAAAAAAACGTTTAAAACGATAATAACCAGAGATCAAAGACCAAAAACGAGAAACTGGTTGAATTATATATATTCTCATTTTTTGCTGAGAGACGAATTCAAGCAAAGACATTTTATTATTTCAAGTACAGAAAAACAGGAAAATGTCATAAATGTGACAAATAATTTCAAATAAAATGTTAATTACGAAAATAGATTTTGCCAAATAGGGGGAGGGGGCTAGCAAACGACGCGCACGTGTTTAAAAATGTTAAGGGGGGGGGGGGTTGAAATGTTACAATATGTAACATAAAAAATCTTTTAACTCTTCTCTATGTTTCTTTCGGTTTGTGCATAAAAATAAATTCGAAGTTTGAATTTACCTGAATATATTTAAGGAAATCCTAAACGCTAAAGAAAAATGTTTTTGAACATTCAGTCACTGGTAAAATTGTTTCATATAAAGGTGTTCATATATGGAGTTTATCAAGTTCATGGCCGTAGGAACCGGGGGAAGGGCATGGGGGCCGTAACCACCCCACCCCAATAATTTTACCGATACATAGTAAATTGTGGAAAACATAGCTGGTACACAATAAAAACACAGCTGCTTTATGCTTGTACCTCTTCAATAATAACATGAATAACATTTTTTTTTAACTTGTCAAGGAATTTCTTTTGATATAGTACTCCCCCCAGCTGAAAATACTTGGTTGCCCCCCCCCCTCCCCTTCCCTCCAAAAAATGAAATGCAACATATGTCATAAAATTCAACCAAAAATTTTAAGGATTTAAAATTCAGATACCGGTATATATGTCCTATATAATGCCATGATATGAAAATAGATTCATTTTCTCAGGTGGTATATGATGGGCCTAATACAACAAATTGAAAAGAACTTTTGTTTGAAATTCTACATAATTGTAAAATCTTTCTAATTTCATTATTCTGTTCAAAATAGCTTGCAGATTTTAAGCAGGGTAAATTGAAATCCCTAGCAAATTCTAAAGTATCGGGAACATATGGAATTAAAGAAACACACATCTTACGCGTATTTGCAGAACACAATAGTTCCTTAATTAATCACTTTGTTAAATATTACAGGCATATAAATTTCGATATTATAAAACTGTTATAAATATAAATAACATTTTCAACAAATTATTTTAATGTAAAGAGGAAATGTTAGTTATTCCCAAAATACATTTTTTTTATAGTCGTATTAGTTATTTGGTAAACCAGACCTATGATACATGTACATATATGCGTACTTTAGTTGTACAGAAAAAAAATAGAAACTGTAGCAGATCATAGTATTATCCAATCGATGAAAGTCGTTAAAAAAAAGCGTAATCTATTCCAACCGAGGTACCGTTATACATGTATAACTTTGGGTAGCTATTAAATCTATTCATTATACAAGTAATAGCTTTTCATAAAGCTTGCCTGACTAATTAATCAATATCTATGGAACGTATAAGCAAGAGAGGTGCTAAACGTTTCCGTCATCAAGGAGCGACATAGTTGCGATACTTCATTACACAAGATGTACAATTGACTTTCTCAAATGTCATAACCAAATACTACAAATTAACGAATATCAGACATGCAACTATTTGGTCATTTATTAGTTAGCCCACGGGCTGACTATAGTTACGTTGGGATGAAACTGCAAGTGCTTCAATGCTGCTCTAGAACTCAAAGTAAATGGACTGTACACTTTATAGCTAGAGCAAAACAAGATACTAATGATACCCCCCCCCCCCCCGAACAAAACTCACACGATGATGGTCTTACCATATACATGTACGTGTATTATAAATGCGTTAAAAATACATCTTAATGTACAGTTTTAAAATTGTTTAGTTTTTTTTCCAATCGATTTCAGGACCTTTCTCATAATTATAATAATGTGCTTTTTTATGAAAGGAAAACTAGTACAGATCATGATGTCTTCTTCATTTTGCCGAGTCTTTACTTAGAACCTTACGGGAGTGAAGCCTATTCCTCGTACTGATCTACATTCTTGTCACTGTATTAAAAGGAAACCCTAAGGCTTGTTATCACAAAGCATGAAATAATACGCTACTGGCTGACTTTCTAAGCTTTTTTAAAAAAAACTTAACCTTGTAACGTACATTATAATTAAATGTAATATTGAAAGAAAAGGTGAAAAACAGGCTGAATCAAGAAGGGATGTCTCATTTACTAGGTCGAGGGCGTTTGTTTATGGTTGGACTAGTCCACTTATGGGATAAAAGTAAGAATAATCAGCAAATCCATTACTTTAGTGTTGCCTACCAATATACAATGTGTTCTTTTAAAAAAAAAATGAGATAAAGCTTAAGAATCAGGTTAAAAGAATAAACTATTTATTTCCATAGAAGTTATCACACCCATTCAATAGATCAATCCAAGAAAAAGGGCGCGAAGATAATTTACATGTGACTTTTGGCACGAAATGATTGTGTCACCCCTTTCGTAGAAGACAAATGTACTGATCCAGTAGTTTAGAAACGCAGAAAAAATGTTACACGGACATGTCCGTACAAAGAATCGCAAAGAATAAACATGTGCATGCAAAAAAACTGAAGGAATTAAACACATCATTATTTTGCATCAGTAATATGATTCTTTCTTCTGCAAACTGTATTTGCTTAAATGCAAGTAACAAATTCCGATGTAAATATGTAAATCAGCTTCCACGAAATCCAGTTAATTAAGAATGATCGCTTTGTTTCGGACCATGAAAAAATTAATCCTTATACTGCCTGACGCACGTTGCGTCAAGCAATTATATTCACACATATATATAAGCGGGGAGACTAACTTCCACCCAAAAAAATCTGTGGACCTTTTCACAAAAAGACAAAAAAAAAAATCCAAATCTCCAACAAGCAACTGAGCTGTAGTATGTCGCAAAACTTTTACATTAGATTACATTGTAAATAATATTTTAGAAAAAAATAAATATCAGATTTCAGATTTTCATCTTAGTCGTAAGATTTTTTGTGAAAAGGGCCACTGACTTGCAAAAAAAGAAAAAAAAGGGGGGGGGGGAGAGGGAGAACTTCCCAAAATTATCTGACAAGCAAAAGAACCAATTTACTGTAGCAAAATACTATACTCAGAAAAAAGTGGGGCGTTCTACGGGCCTGATAATTTAATCTACTTTCACTAAGTGTAAAAAAAAGATGATTTCGCCTCAAAAATGCCTTCAAATTGTAAAAGTATCTACCAATAGTACAGTACGTTTCCGGGACTGTAAGCATCTATGTGCGTTATTAGCAATTTGCACTCGATCTTTCTCGTTCTCTTATTGATTGAAATGTTGATATTAGGGTCGGTGGATAATTACTAAAATTTTCAAGAGTACAGCTAAAGTGCTGAGAACATGAATAATGTTATAGATGTTTATTTCAGTGGCGTAGCTAGGTAAAATTAATGTGGATGCTTTTCTGAATTAACATAAGGGGTCTGGGGCAGCATTAAATCCTTCCCCCAGCGGATCGGGGGTTGGACAGAAATTGAAATTTAGGAGTGTTAGATTGAGTCTCGGAATGTGCACGATGAGGATAATGCAAAAGAATTTATCTTTGAATACTGAAACAAATTTATTAAAATACGTTGAACTTATCTCTTCTAAGAATTTTGTATTTTTCTTCCGTTTTCTTTTCTTTTTCTTTCTTTCTTTCCTTTTTTTCTTTAAGTAATCTGGATGCTTTGACATGCAAGCATATATAGTAGCTATGCCACTTTAACTTCTAAAACCCCGTAAATATTAACGTAGAACCTACGTCGTATGACGTCATACTGAGAAAATTAGTTTAGACTGTCTTTTTGGTGCTAGATCCATTATGACGTCATAATTAATTTATTGTTACTTTTTCCCGTACTTTCTTCAAGAATGTCTCATGTAATGAAGTTACACAACTGTGATAATGTGAATGACATGCAACTATTTTGAAGGAAATCAAAAATCCTAAGAAATCTAAATAGTACAATATCTTGATGAAAAGTGTCTGAGTCAAAGATCTGTTAAAAATTGTGTCTAAATTTTGTAATGTCTATCATGAAATGACGTGCATTCCCTTTCATAATTATTTGTTAATTATTTATAATGGTTGGTGTATAATGATAATGTTTCCCGAAAATATTATCTTTTTAAATAAAAAAAAAATACAATTTTTTGATAAATATTCACATCGTAAATCTGAATGTTACCCCAAAACAGTAATTTAATAATTAAATCCTGTGTAAGTGCAAAAAGGTCAACAAAAGAAGTATGGATAAATAGAGTGTTCTCATTCGTTTGCTGGGAAAGGTATATATTTTAATCACTTTTTGTAATCATTTGGGTATGTTCTTCATCATATTAAAGATTGAAAACATTCTGACAAAGACTTTTGAAAAATATTTACAAATTTAGGTGGTAAATTGACTAAAAAAATATTGAGCACATTTGCCTATATTCGTTGAAATGTGGACTTAATCTTTTATGTCAATTGAATAAAAAAGAATTTATTCTTGAATAATATTGCTTAATATGGTTCAGTTAATAAAGTCTATAAACGACGATGTTTGAAGAAGTATTTTAGTGATTTATTATATTCTCTTTATGACCAGTACCCCTAAAAATGGCTGAAAATATGTAGTCGCTGTGTAAAATTATCCTTCCAAGTTGCATAGACTGCACTACATTTAATAACGAAGAAACATACCATATATTTTTAACTGATTGATAAGCGAGAGCTAATTTATCATTTTGAAAAGTTTGAAAATCTTGTGACAAAGACTTTTCCGACATAGGTTCTACCTTAATCCCTCTACATTCTTTCGAGTATTTTGTCTCGTTAGTTCTATGAAAGTGACAGAGGTATAGATACATAAAGTACGAACGCTTTCAGTTGCTCAGAAACATATCAGAATTTCGGAAATCAAAAGTGTTTCTCAGGAACGGATCCATCAATATGTAACAATATAGTTGGTGCGGGCGAATTTTTTTTTTTCTTTTTGTGACATCCGTCCTCATTGGGTTTACAAATGTACAGCATAAATTAAGGAAGTATACCTGTTGATCTGTAGATACATGTTAAACAAAAGAAATAATTATTATATCTTGAAGATGCACGTATTTCAAAACATAAACTATTTTCCTTCTTTTAAAAAAGGTGATGATAGGTCCCATGATCCACTTGTACTGATTTGATTTTCTAAAATCCCCATTTCATTTTTTTCTTTGCTTCCGACGCAAGGATTTAGAGAAGAAATGTTAAATTACTAAGTAGCCAAAAACATTTTTGATCTATTTCTGATCAGCTAAATATTCATAATATAATTTATATATCTTATCTAATCTGTATACATTCTGGCTTCAAGATCATTAGGCAATCCTAGACTTAAATTAAAATTTCAGTCATTCATGAAACGGATATTTATTATAAGCTGACCTTTGAAAACTTAAAATCTAAGGAGATGGGGGTTGGGTTGGGGATCGAGCGATGGTGATTTTTTTCGAGTCAGATTATTTATTTTAATACCCTTATAGGACTGATTGAATATTTATTTCAATGAGACACATTTTTACAATTTTATTTTTATTTCCTTTCGTCACCTGGAAAACTTTCCTTCCCAGTAGAGAAAAGATTATTTATTTGCAAATTTTTCAAGGACACGCAGAATGTTTCATTTCAAAATCTGACAGCCCCCCCGAATCCACATCGTACAGCAATTCCACAAGGAACAGGATGTATACAAATGCAGATCATGTAGCACAATCCCATTCATCAAAATTCATGCTATTAAAAGACATAACACTGTATTCATTTTCTCCGAATCAACGAAAGCTTTTGGTCTCAGTCGTAGATAAGAAAAGAACTTACGACTAAGACTTAAAGCTTTCGTTGATTGTAAAATTCTGCAAAAGTAATGATTCTGTACAAAATTGATAGAATACAAAATATCTTACTACATTCCTTTTAGAAATAATGAAACCATTTTAATTTAATGTTAATTAGAAATTTATCAGCAGAATTTTTTGTAAAACGAGCCCCTGGTCTCTGCTGAGTTCGGCCAAAGCGACTCACTTACATCAGCTGTTTGTCACGTGACAGGTTTATATCTAAAAAAAAATGTATGTACTGCTTCAGAGATCGTAAATTAAGTTCAACAATATACAGGTATTTTTTCACAATAAAATCTATACCGTTTTTTGGAGACAAATTCCTTAACATGAATAGTGCTGTAAAATTTAGCCTTCCTTCTATAAACTCCCGACACTGATGTAATACGCATTGCGATAATGTTAAATAACGGAATAAATCAACAGCGCACAACAAGCTCCTAGCACTTTTCAAAATAGTAGGGATAATACTACACGTGTTTACAAACTCAGAATTTACAGTGAATTGGATATCGTTGAACTTTTGATATTTTCGAGGGACTGATCCTGTCATTCTAGCACGTTACTGTCAGTGTGCTCCCTACAGCTTTATATAAAGTCTACGCATTTTCAATTTAATTTGATAAAATATGGATAAATATATTTAAGAATATGTTCCTTTTTCTATTCGATCACGCTTGTTTCGTATTAATTTTTAGATACGATAATAACTTGATCCACGCCTCAAGTATAGAGAAGCTGCATGTCAAACTGAGAAATAGAACAGAATAGAATAAACAAAATAGAATATTTATTCAACCAATTTGGGCCCGCAGTGGAGCATAAAGGTCAACAATGCCCGAAATCATAGTTATAAATGACAATACATGTATTTACATTTGCAAATATTTTTCTTAGATAACCCTATTGAAGAGAAAATATGTTCAATTCTCTATGAATATTAGGTCAGAGGGCATTGCGTGACCGAATCACACAGCGAGATTATACCTAGCCTACATATTTCATTATAATTCCTGAACTGGACTGCTGAACATCAATGTAGATATTCAAATGTTGGAGCGAGGCGAACTATCTTCTAAGTCATTGCGCTGCACAACATAGGAATACGGCGGGTCGTTCTATTCGAAATATTTGTCTCAAATGTAAATATAAGTAATAAACAACATTGATAAAAGTTCACTGGGAAATGAACTTGGTTGGTACGTGATCAAATCTACTGAGAAGGCCTTCGGGCTTCACAGGATTTGATCACGTGACCAACCAAGTTTATTTCCAAGAGAACTTTTTAACATTGTTGTTTATTTCTTAAATAAACAGAACAAAACAAACAATTGTATAATGACGTCATCTCAGTAAGTACAGTGAGATCAAGCTAGCTTTCATTCTACATTCGCTAAGTGTTATTATGGCAAGACAAGTTGCACATCCATTACAGTATTTATGAGAAACGGAAGTCTAATAAGTGTTTATTAAAAGAGAGATTATAGTATTTTATTTCGTTAAGGGGGGTGGGGTAGATTTCAACTTCTTTTAGTACCAAATTTTTTACTCAGACACTGCATTCCCCTTATATTACCCTTATTTGACAATACTGCAACCAAAAGTGGGGGGGGGGGGGCGCAACCGGACTTTCAATGAACATTTCCTATAGAAAAACTTGTGTCTGAAAAAAGGGGGGCAGGCAATATTTAACCCCATGTGGTAGTTTCTTGCATCCAGTTAGAGATTGTATGGTAGTGAAAATTGAAAGTCAAACTTTTTCAAACTTAATGGCATGTTGCCATGGTAACCATAGCAAGAAATTTTGCCTGATTCGATATTATGGTATGACTTGGTAAGACTTTCATCATAGAGAGTTTAAAGAAATTTTGAGACCTTTACTCAGGTAAAGGTAGATATGCATGATAATATCTTATTATCTTTTATTAGGACAATAGTTGGTTCTGCCGTCGGTGGAGTGGTCTTTTTTATGAGCTGTATCGTATGCTGTTTGTGTAGCAGTAAGTATCAATGTTCGTTTTTGTGCTTCATTTTTAATTATGGTCGTCTGAAATTCTAGCCAGCAAGATAATAAAAAAGACAAATCTGGAAAATGGCCAAAAGAAACAATACATATACATTCAGTGTCTATGTTCAGCAAGATACTGCTATGTTGTGATGGTACATAAATTAAAATTTAAAGAACATGTACCAAAACGATATTTCTTTAATTTTTCATTTTCATGTTCTAAAATGACCTGAAAAGCCTATACTAGTAATCTTTTGTCTGAAAAGTATAGTCTGTGGAAAAAACGAACCCTTCTTTGACATTTTACTTTTTGAAATATACTGAAAGGAAAAAGAAAGGCAGAGTAACATAATATGCGAAAATGTTTTGACTGAATAACTGAAAATTATGAAAACTAGTCAGAGGGATATCTCGGTTACTGTGGATTAAAATCAGTGTTCAGATCTACTCAACCATGAAATTTATAACGTCACATAAGGAAAGTGATAAAAAGCCGAAAACACGTGCATATCGATAACGATATGTTTTTCAACCCATTTCGTAGCACCATTTGCTGCACTTAAGTTATACACATCGTTTTTCGATATTTATAATCGATTTGCATTTCTTGAAATCAAAGTACGGTTGACGGAAGTACATGTACCATGGGGTCTGGCTATTGCATTGCCTAAGTAAGGACAAACACAACGACAGGTTCCTGTGCAGTTTGTTGTGAATTTTTCTATAATAGAACATCTTACCCGTCCTCAGAGAGGGCGTAGACAGGTTTCCAACCAACCGTGACGATGACGTTGACGCGTAACAGTACTACGTCAAGATCGGGCTATTCATCCTTCCACCTGAATAATCACCATCACATTACCCTGGACTGCTATTAATACAGCAGGGTTTACTTTACTGCGTTTCTTTTTCCTTTCAGTATATTATATGCACGAAATGCAAAAAGAAAACAAAAGAAATGAAAAAGGAAGCAGATTGCCCTAGCCTGATGCTAAGTTTTATCCTACTTGTATAGATTGCCGAAGGCGCCAGATGCCGCCTCCAGCAGTTGTTTACAGACAACAACAGCAAGTACTTGCAATCGGACAACAAACATATGGACAACCTCAAGATTATGGACAACCTCAGGCTTACGGACAACCTCCAGCTTACGGGCAAATTTACAGACAGCCTCCAGCTTACGTGCAAATTTACGGACAACCTCAGACAGATGGACAAGGTTGCAGTACACCGGGTGCATTGCCATAAGATACGACAGATAACAAAGTAAAGTTGTAGGCGATGGAAGAAAAAAATGATATTGTCATCTATATTGTCCCTGTAATTGTGATACGTATCAGTGAAGTTGTACACGAACAAATAAATACATTCCTTCCCATCAAACAGCGTGGGGCCCATTCACTTTTTATAGTAGACATCTTTGAAAATCTTCTTCTCGAGAACAGCAAAGCCATGATTAGTCATATTATTATAGAAATATCCTCAGGTATTGTTGATTCAAGTTTGTTCCAATCATGACCCCTGGGTTTAGGGCAGGACCACAACAGGGGCTCAAGGTTTACTTTATGAATATATGGGAAATATCCTTAAAATTTTCTCAAGAACAGCTAAGCCATTATTAGTCAAGTTTGTTCAAATCATGACCCAGTGCAGACAAAACGGGGGGGGGGGGGGGGGCAAAGTTTTACGTAGGAATATATAGGAATTATCGTTGAAAAATTTTTCTCAAAAACAGCCTAGCCATAATTAGTCATATAAATATAGAAATATCCTCAAGTGATGTAGATTCAAGTTTGTTCAAATCATGACCCCCAGGGGTAGGGCGAGGCCACAATAGTGGGTCAGAGTTTTACATAGGAATATATAGGGGTAATGGTTAAGGGACATTTGCGTAAAACGCACTGAAGACTTCAAATAGTGGAATGCCCTGTTAACTCTTGGAATGGACTAGCCAAAGGGTTTATAAGGCAAAGCTTTGGGAAATCAGGTATTTAGTAGCTAGTAGAAGTTGGTCGTTAAATCAGCAATAAAGAAGAGAAGGGCAAGAGCAAAATAAAAGTATGAAAGTTATAAGCACCAGTGGCAAGTATCCTTGGGAATCGATGTTAAGTTCTGGGTGTAGTTAATCTAAAGAAGATTGGGACATCCGGTTCTTATCTATAAACACGAACGTAGGAAAGAAATATAGTACAAGAGTACATTTACCCAGTCCCCGTCTCTAGATAAAAGAAAAAAATTAGTACTGTGTGATAAACCCTTAGACAAAGCAATCTTAATAATCATTCCAATGATTAAATCAGAAAGAGTAAAATGAAAACCTGTAGAACCTGATCATACATGTAACATAGGAAATATCTTTAAAAATCTTCTTCTCAAGAAGAACTAAAGCATTATTAGTCATATTTATATAGAAGCTACCTTAGGTATTGTAGAATCAAGTTTGTTCAAATTATATTATGACCCCTAAGGGGTTGGGGGGGGGGGGGACACAACAGAGGGGTCAAAGTTTTACATAAGAATAAATAGGAATCATCTTGAAAAAATCTTCTAATCAAGAACAGCAAAGCAATGATTAGTCATATTATCATTGAAGCATCCTCAGATAGTGTGGATTCAGATTTGTTCAAATTTAGGATGGGTAAGGTGGGGTCATTATGAGCGATCAGAGTTTTACATAGGGATACATAGGGAAGACATCTTATAATTTTTTCTGTTTAAGAGCAACAAAGCCTTGATTAGTAATACTGATATGGAAGCATCCTGAGGTGTGGAAATTTAAGTTTGCCCCTCCCCCATAAACATTTCAATACTGAACTACGCATGTGAGTTAAGGCTAGGTGTAGGCGTTTCTATGTAAATGAGCTAATAAAAACGCATAAGAGGTATATTTATTACTCAGAGAAAGTTTTGATTTATTTTCTTATGCATACTTAGTACCCACGATATGTTATAGCCAGTACACATTATGACGTCATATTATGACGTCACTGATCTAACCTACTGAGGTAATAAATCACATCAACAAAACAGCTTCGGCGCAAGGGATTACCCTATTTATTTTTATATAAAAATACTAAGAAGTATATTCTATTGATAAATAAAACTGCTGCACAAATCCTTGGCATTTTCTCATTTGATCGGAATTTGAAGAAACTTATACCGGACGGTACATTTTTACCCTTATTCAACTAAAAACTTTACGAATAGAAATTGTACAACTGAGCTGTTGATATTTGTTCAGCAATACCAGCAAACTTTGGAATATATTGCTTCTAATACACCTTGATTCAGTTAAATAAAATAGAGCATGCCCTTGCGCCGAAGCATTTTTGTTGATGTCCATTATAATCTTGTGTAGTAAAGAACAATGACGTTATAATATGACGTCATAATGTGTACTGGCTATCTCATGTCGTGGGTACCAAGTATGTATTTGACAATAAGTTTTAACTTTCTCTGTATAATAGATATAGTCCTTAGGCAATTTAATTAGTTTATTTGCATAGAAATGCCAAAACTTAGCCTTAACTCACCTGCGCACTGATTTTTGCTTTTTTCCTAGCAAATGTACTCATTTGAGCCATGTGACCATGGGCTTCTTGTACTTATTTCTGTTCAAAACAGTGAGTAAAAATTCATATGGTCATTTATTGCACGAATAAATGTATAAATGTATTGTACATGTAGATCATTGACTATTTCATAAAATGAAATTACATTTATCCGTTCTTTTTTTTTTTTGGACGTTTTAAGACAATATTTTGAAATTTGTTTGTCACTGTGTTGGCTTGCAACCTGTTGAAGTTTAGGATCGCTGTGGATGAAAAGACTGACATTTTCAAGACAATTTTCTAAATATTCACCATATATTTAAAATGAACGCAAGTAGTATTAGGGGTCTGGATGAATGAGTCAACTGAGTGCATTTTTGACCCCCCCCCCCATACACCCAGATCCTTGATAGATGGGTCAACTGAGTGCATTTGAGGAGGATAAATGGGTTAACCAAGTACACCCCGGATAGGTGGGTCAATCAAGTACACCCCCTGAGTAAAAAAGAAGACGTTAGATCTACGATTGTACATCTATACCCCTCAATACACAGTCAAACTTAGCAGCGGTTAAAATCTTTTATTGTTACGTCATGTCATTCACAGCCTGTCTAGCTATTTTCTGAAAGAAAACAATAACGCTGCAAAAGTTTTAAAAATAATTTATTCAAAGCAAATTACATGATTACTTTTTCTTCTGTAGTTTCAGTGTCTGCTTCTTATTCTCAGTGCTAGGGGGTTTTCTTTTGTTGTAGTTGGCCCCCACAGTGGTTGGAATCAGATTTTATCCTGTTCTTTCATCTTGTTTTTCCCTGGTCTGCCTCCATTCTATCCGTTTTCTTACCTACATTACGAATTTCATCAGTCATATCTTCTCTAAACACACGTATATCATCAGTCATCTAAACACATGGATACCATTATGAAGTCCATCCATTATGGTGGCCATTTCATCTTAGATATCACATATCGAACTTCTTTCGTTTACACCAATAAGATTCTGTGTCTCTGGTAAGACATGTCTTGCATTCTCAGGTGTATTCATGGAATTTTCCTCTGCCATCATAACGTCTGTCTAGTTCCAAGTGCGACTAAAGACTGATCCTACACTCCCACCTCTGGTTTATACACTTTTTGTTCTGTAGGGTCGTGTGCAAATATCTTTTGCTTACGTTTGTACGTCTTGTATTCGTCTTAATACACAGTCTTGGGAGGTATGCATTGTGACGTGATACACTGTATAAATACTGCATATCTCCGACTTTGACCTCATTCTGTTGTCAGTTTTTTCTCATGTCAACATGAATTTTGAAAGTGCTATGTAAAAAACTGTTACATGCACATCACCTTATGACATGGAGAAGACGAGAGAAAGAGTTAGAAACAATTTTTTATCGACAGAGAAAAAGACAAATAGCTCTCAGGGAAAAAATGCAAGATAAATAGAAAGATTAGAGAGAGAGAAAGTCAACCAAGACAACATCTACAGGGTTTACGGAATGTACCTGATGTACCTGAAGAAGAACCATCTCCTTCTTCATCACCACCCAATCCCCCCCCCCCCTCCAAGAAGCTAATGGCCATTTCCCAGTATTATCAAGTCAGACTGAATCAGGCCCGGCATTCAAGAAAATTCAAAGCTGAAGAAGTTGTCTACAGTGTCGATTTTAAGGAATTTCCAGACGAGGAAAATAAAGGATTTGTTCTGCGATTATTTAGAGACATGCTGCAAACTGTCAAATATCATATGCAGTGCTATCCTAACAATTGTATATTATGAACATTTGACACCTTCTTCTGGATTCCGACATTTGGTACGAGTTTATTCACTGTAAACATTATAACAAGGACGTCATTTTAAATGAAATTGAAGCCGTGCAACAATCTAAAAAAGATTTAAAACTGAGAGACGGCTTTTTGGAATTCGACATGATTCATGTCAAGTATTCAGAGGGGAGTGGTAGACAGAATACCAAGCGCACCTGATGGTCAATAAGGGGAATTCAAAGAAAGGGGAAAAAATCCATCGTTCAGATCGATAATCCTTGGGATAAATTTTGTTTAGCTAGGAAAATAGTAGTCACCCGGTTACACAGTCAAAAAACCGGAAAATCCAAAGATTTTACCCCAGTGGAAAAAATTGTGGCTACCTATGCAGAAGGGAGATTCTCAATCATTATACCAGAAGAACAAAGCCCTAGCTCTCATTGAATAAGCCGGCTTTGATATTGATTGATTGATTGTATATTGTTTTTACGTCCCATTCGAGAATTTTTCACTCATATAGAGACGTCACCATATACCGGTGAAGGGCTTCAAATTTTGACCTTTACTCGGCACTCAGGGCCATTGAGCAGTGAGGGATCTTTATCGTGCCAACGCCTGCCGTGACACGGGGCCTCGGTTTTTAAGGTCTCATCCGAAAGACCCGCAACTTTCACTTCAAAGTGCCGAGCGCATGGCGAAGGAACGGTTGCTACCTATTTTTTATCGACTTAGGTCTGTCGCGGCCGAGATTCGAACTCACGACCTCCCGATCACGAAGCGAGCGCTCTACCGACTGAGCTACCGTGACAGTGGCTTTGATATTCATCAGTCTTGTGGACCCAAAGAATGGGGGAATTACAACAGGTGTTAGCCCCCGCTATTAACTGAAAATACTTCAGTTCAAGTCGACTTCCTCTAAACTCGGCATAGAGCCCATGTACAAAGGCTACGGAGACCTTAGATGGGGTAAAGATGCCCATGAATTATACGCATGAAAATATTTAGATAAAATGAATACAATTTCAATATTTTTCTAATGGCATTAGTTTTGATAAATGTGAATTGTGGTGTTTGCACTTGTATATTTCGGGTCTCTTCTGAGTTCGGCAAAGCGACATCGCTTACATCAGCTGTTTGTCCGTCCCGCGACAGGTTTAAAATTAGAACATACTTGTATATGTACTTCTACAATGATCGTAAAAGTTCAACTAAATATAAAGTCTAAACATTATCAATTTAGATTGACAATAAAATGTGGATTAATATATTTCAAAATATATCTTTTCTTGGTCCGATTTCGTATTTATTTCTATTTTTACAAACTACGATAATAGCTTGATCCACGCCTCAAGTACAGAAAAACTACGTGTCAAACTAAGAAATGACGTCATCTCAGTAAGTACAGCGAGATCAAGTTGGCTTTCATTCTACATTCGCTAAGTGCTATTATGGCAAGATAAGTTGCACATACATTTATCTTTACAATATTTATGAGAAACGAAGGTATTTGAGTGTGTTTAAAAAAGAACATATAGTATTTATTTATCAAGATTCATTTGTATTGATTTAACGTGACGTCATAATAGGTTTTTCGAACCTCCGCATGGGCTGGCGTATATATGGGAGTCCTTAACCTAGCTGCGACAGAACTTGTTTTAACATTTTGTTAGAAGAGAATCATTACTATGCTCTTTTGTCCATGCCGGGTGTGACGGGAACCCATATTACTGTGATCATTGCGATGTGGGGAACAGGAACATCACAGATCATCGTACTATATGTCCTTACCGATGCTCCTTCTGTTTATCAGATACCCCATGCCCTCCAGACAGGAGCCACATTCAGTGCCATCGCTGACAAGAATTTTTTCAAAGCAGAATTTGTTTTCAAAATCATTTACGGCCTCACACTAAAAATACCACAACAACAGTATGCAGTTTTTTGGGACGATGCGAGCATTGTCAGAAATGGACGCAAAACAAAAATTACTCCCTCATCATCCATGCGGAGGACAGAAACAATGTTAGATCTGTAAGAAAACTGTAGACACGGATCATCAGTGCTACGTATAACTGAACTCCCAGAAGAAAAAGAAGGGAAAAGAGACATTTCAGTTTTATATTTATCTCTATTTCGAATGTACCAATGAAAACGGCATCCACGACCCTAATTTATATGTGGCTCATCGCGTATGTCAGCATTGCGGGCACTTACCCATAGAAGATCCCTGTCCTCATTGTCGACCCGTCAACAAGTGTTTAAAGGGCCAGATACCTCAAAACACTTCATGAACTGGTGATTACAGCCCGACACAGGAAATAAGAAATTCGCTTTATTACACGACGAGGCAATCATCATTGCTCACAATTTCAAAGGATACAACGGGCAGTTCATTTTAGATTACCTAGTCCATTCCGCCTGCATGAAACCTACAGTCAACAAGAAAGGCACTAAAATCTTATTCATGCAAATTCATCGCCTCGTATAACTTTTTTACCTTTTGCTCAAGACGGAACAGAACCAGAATTACGTGGGCCCTTATCCACCAGCGGCTTTCTACAGTCCAGAGGACATGTCTATTAGTTGCCGACAGGCTTTAGACGATTGGTACGAACAACAATCCGGAAAAGTGTTTGATTTCCAGAAGGAATTTTTAGGATATTGTATTTCAGATGTCGATATTTTTCGACGATGCTATGTCCAGTTTAGAGCCACACTCAAGAGCTATCTAGACTCCTTCCAGGAATCCGTCACTTTTGCCAGTACTGCCAATTTAGCTTCCCGTCGTGGATTCATCCCCGAAAATACCATTGCCATCATTTCCAACATGAAGTATCAACCAGTTCGTCAATATTCGTCAAAGCCTGTCGGTGGCTTACCTGTATGAGTCAACAGAGTGAAGGTAACGTACGACATTCTAAATCATGCTAAAAACGGGGGAGAAGTCAAGATCGGATACCAGGAAGCCACTCACACCGTCTACGAATTTTACGGATGCTATTGGCACGGATGTCCCACTTGCTATCCTAATCTACAGACCGAAAATCATCCTCACCGGGCACAATTTACTTACCAGGTATTACACAAGGAAACTTGAAGAAGGAGTTTGGTCTTAGAGGAAATTCCGTACTGGGAACACGAATTCGATCAACAAGTGGAAAGAGAAGTGGCTTTACAAAATTATGTACGACACCTAGATTCCAGATCCTTTGAACCCCCGAGAGGCCCTGTTCGAAGGCCGGACGAATGATACTCGCTTATATTGTGAGGATGGTGACATGAGATACGTAGACATCTGTTTTTTATACCCTTACGTGTTAGATCACATACCTTTTCCTTTGGGCCATCCTCAGATCATTACTGACCAATTCCAGACTTGAGAACTTATATCGGTCTCATTCACTGTCGGGTGTTACCACCCCGAGGCATTTATCAGTCCGTTTTACCTTATCGCACGGGAGGCAAGTTATTATTTCCATTATGCCGAACCTGTGCAGAACAAAAGGACTCTACCTCTAAACATCGATGTCAACACACGGACCAGGGACGCAGTCTCACGGCCACCTTGGTGACCACCGAATTACACAAAGCACTGGACATGGGATATACCTTGGCATTTTCCAGAAAGTAAAAAGGGTTTATTTAGACCCTACATCGATACCTTTTGAAAGATCAAAGAGGAAGCTCCGAGATTCTTACCCGACTTTCAAACGGAGGAACAGAAACTAGATTACGTTAGAAAGAGAAGGTATCAGGATGGACCTGTTAAGTATAAAAAAAATCGGTTCGAAGAACGATAGCCAAACTCTTTTTAAATTATCTATGGGGAAAGTTCGCTCAGCGCCCTATTACCTTTAGCTCGATATGTGACCGAAGAAGAGGAATTACAACAACTCTGACAAGATTCTACCATAGACTTCAAAGGTATAGAACTCATACATAATAAAGAGCACCCGGAATCGAACATGATGTTGGTCAATTATCAAGAGAAACAAGAATTCGTAGGGGAATTCCCTTTCGGAAACTTGGTACTGGGCTGTTTTACTACAGCTCATGCCCGATAACATCTATACGAGACTTTACAACCTTTAGGAAATCGGGTCCTTTATTTCGATATGGGCAGTATCAATTTTATTTATTTATTAATTTTCAAACATGCCAAATTAAATTTGAATTGGCAAAAAAATCTGAATTTTGTGGAGACATGTATCGAGAAAACATCTTTGTCTTTACACAGAATCAAAAACGATACCTGCTACATGCATATCAACGAACATGACATGTATAATCATTAAAACTAAATTATGTGGACGTGTAAACCAGACAGGTTCTGCTGTCAGATCTTACCTTCTTTACTCTTTTTATAACATTATGATTAACATGAAGTCAAAGATGTACAATTAGGTATGCCTAAAAGTTTAAAGATTACGATTGTTCAGAAAGTCACAGATTTACTGTAACTATTGCATTCATTTTGCAATCAATGTACCTATATATAAATTACTTAGAAATATTGAATACACATCTTATGATAAATCATTTTTTAAAAAGTTATTTAATTTTCCCTTGAAAGGGGGGAACATATATGTTTTTTTTTAATCATTTATTATAGGTTGCCCCCATCTGTAATTATCATCATCATCTTCAATTTTGATTTTTTTCTTATGTGTATTTTTCTTTACTTGTATGCCCTGAAGGCCCCAAATTGGTATCAATAAATCTTATCCTATCTTATATTATTAACATCTGCGACAATATGTACCGAGATGGGCGTTTTTTTCGCTCCCTTGGCAACAATGTGTTCCTTATGTATTGGCACATTTTGCGGTCCGTGACTATGTTTGCTGCGAACATTTGCATATTTTGTCGCGAAGGTATTGCAAGAATGTTTACTGGGGTCCAAAAATTTTAATTTTAAAAATGTAAAAAAAAATTGAAGATTTTTCAGCGAATGGGGACAGATTTTATGAAACACGCAGCATATTCTTGTTTGGAAGGCCATTCTATTTTTTTTCATGTAAGTCCTACCTTTATTATCTAATAACCTATTGGGGAAAAATGATTAGTTTCTTTTGAATCAAAACCCTCGGATCCACACAATAAGTTTTTATGGTGAATTTCCTGGCGCTTTTTTAAAAAAGTAACCTACCTGAATTATCGTGGATCACAAATTTGAGTTCTTGATGAAATTTTCAAAGTCCCCTGAAAGAGATAACACCGAGCAGATACCTATTTTGTTTTTTCTACAAACCAGTTTGGTAATGGAACAAATGCACATCCAGTCCTTTAATGAAAAACTCCTCCGTATAACGATAAAGATGTGTTAATTGTTTTAGAAATATAATGCGCCTACGCACTACAATACAGAGAATTATGCTCTATCCCCTATAAGTTTTGTGTTTAACCAATACACCTATATTCATTTGGAAAATTAATAGATTCATTTCAAGACAGAATGTTTTGTTGCAATATTTTGATATACATGCTATCATGCAAAAAAAATATTTTAAGGCAAAAAATGCGTTCACGTGATATGTAAGTTGAGTTTGAAATGCAGTGCACTGCCCTTTTTTTTAACTTATACATAACATACATCTACATCACAAATATGCACAAAACAAACAGCGACGTACAATTTAACTTTTTAATTAACTTTTTTTTTGATTGATAAGCAAACTTTTACTACGCAGATAAGATGCCTTCACCTTGGGAATTCCACAATAATGATCCCCGTGAATAAGTTATTACGAAATCAAGCCATCGAATTCAAAGTATAGTTCGACATTAAGAATGGATACCTACAAATTTGTGTTGATGATTCTAATATTTGGTTTTATTTACCTTTTTCCAATAACAGACGGTAAGACTTAGTCTTACAGTTTTAAATTTAAATTTATGTTTAATTCAAATTCATTCATCGCCTATATATGAACCAGTTATAAAGAAATTAATTTATTCTGATAAAAAGTTTGAATTTGATTCAATTAAATTGATTTGTTAGTGTGTTATTATTTATTAAGTTAAGATCTACTTAATAATGATATCGGGCAAGAGAATCTTATTTCAGTTGTGGATATTTACAGGGAAACGATCAATCATAAAATTCTAAGTGTTATAAATATTTTATATATGTTAATTAATTATTCCTAGTAACCTACTTTACACAGCTAAAATGATTTCGTTAAAATATATTTTCTCGCGGAATTAATTATCGGAAAAGGTAATGCCAACTAAAATATTCTATTTCTTCGACCATGACATGTAAAATTTGTAAAAATTATTATTATGCATGTGTAATTATACAATACTATAAGGTCATTTTACAAGAATAAACATTTGTCATTTTTTAAGTATTGTGCAATATCTTAACATGACACGATTAATTAGAGATGTAAAATGCATAGTTATCATTACTGTGCTAATTTCATTGAGTTTGTCATAGTAAAACAATGGTTACGCTTTTGGAACTTCATTCTACAAATTCTGATTATTAAATTGATCTTTGAGGTCATATTTTGAAAATGAATTTGAATTGAAGTAATTGTTTGCTCTTGAAGAGTTTGCTAAGGAAAATCGAAAGTTGGAGAACTGTAGTTCTCAGGTTGAGAAAATTCTGACAGACAAACCAGAGAGCTACAGATCCAAGCGTTGTAAAAACCTTCGATTTACGCCGCCGCTTTTTTGTCGTTCGTTTCGGGATTTATTTCTTGTATTTTATGCGATAAAGCGGCAGCGTAAATCGAAGGTTTTTACAACGTTTGGATCTGTAGCTCTTTCGTTTATTTGTCCGAATTTTCTCAACCAGAGAGCTACAGATCTACAGCCAGAAAATCGATTGATAGATTGGGGAATATATATATATATATATATATATATATATATATATATATATATATATATATATATATATATATATATATATATATATATATATATATATATATATATAAGGGATGGCAATTTGTAACCGGTTAACAGATTACTCGGTCGGAACGATGGCAATCGATTAGAAAATCTGTAATCGGTTAATCGGAAAAAAATAAAATATTTCTTAAATTGAACACATTATTAAAAAAACTTATTTAAAAAAAAATCTCTGCATAAAGGATGATCATTTAGGATTTAACGAATCTAATTTGGACATACATGTAATTATGAATCTCCAGATGGAGACCGTAACGTAATTGGTCAGTTTATGTACAGTGTTAATTACTGTGGAATCATTTAAATTCGTGGGGGTCAGTGTTCGTGGGCAAGCAAAATTTTATTGGTTTGTGGGGATGTAATTTCGTGGGCAGCTCGTTTATTTGGTAGATTTAATTAATCAGTACGTTTACAAAAAAAATTGTTCGTGGGGATGTAAATTCGTGGGTAAGGGTTACCCACGAAATTCACGAACATTGATCCCCCACGAACAATGATGATTCACAGTACTGCGAAAACTCCATGTCGTTACTCCGACTGTCTTGTAATTCTTTAATGATAAAAATTGAATCATTGAGCACTGTGAATTGGCGTCTTTGTGGTTTTCAGTTTTCAATCCAATTCAAATATTAAATAAACATCGTTAATTAAGGGGTATAGAGTTAACATGTAGTTTTGATTATCATAGTGTAAATGCAGAAAGAACTTTTGTGACATCTGCTCTGGAAAATTATCAAAGATTCCTTAGGCTTTTTTTTATGGTTTTCTCAATTTTTTCTTGACTACTGAAATTTAGATACCTGTAGTTTTTCTGATCCAGAATCAAGATTAATGTAATGTTTTAACTTCTATTGTCTTATTTGGGTCTATTTGTGTATATGGACAGAGCTACTTGAAAAACAATTGCCAAGAAAACGTGCATTTCGATACGATTAACCGGTTAATCGGTGGGAACGTCTTGCAGTTAACCGATTAGCAATCGATTGCCATCCCTAATATATATATATATATATATATATATATATATATATATATATATATATATATATATATATATATATATATATATATATATATATATATATATATATATATATATATATTAGGGATGTCAATTTTGTCAATAATTCATATTCGAATATTCAATGAAAGTATTCGAATATATTCGAATATTCGATAAAATAAATAAAATCTGGTTTATTTTAGATATGCATCATCCTTCTCTCATGAAAGGTTTAGCGTAGGTATTTTAAATTGGAAGTAAAATTGTATGAATACTTTTGTGGATGTACAATAAGAAATTCCATTTGGTATTTGTCAATGTTTGAAATAAATAATTGATTTAAATGTAGAAAAGTATAATTTTAACAAATGAAACATGTGTATTTATAGTAGCTCTAACTGAGGAATCAGTCGTCTTACCAAAGGCAAGATAGTCGTAACGGTATACTGTTCAGATTCAATACGTGTAATAAATTACAATTATCTGCCTAATAAGAGATATGATTATAATCTTTGATACAGTGTAAACAAATATTTCCATAGACAATTTTTCTAGGTAATTAACTAATTTCCCGATAATGAATATAAAATTCAGGATTATGTACAACCCGAGATAATCAAGTAATTTACACATTTATTCTGAAATTAAGCCCTTTACAATATTAATTACAGACTAATTCTATCGGACATTCATTCAGCGATCATTTAATTTTATTTTGATAAGTATACTCTTCATTCTAAGACATTCTAAGATTTCATTTTGTTGTCCTCGATTCTAGATCCGATCGTATCTAATAAAAACTATGAAAGTACGTTTTGTATTATACATAAAGCATTATTGTACAATTCTTGAACACCTTACTGTATTATACATAAAGCATTATTGTACAATTCTTTAACACCTTACTCAAAACAAAGAAAGTAGTGAAAGAAATCAGGCGATCGAAATTGATCGCTAGTAAATTAAATAGGGATAAATCCAGCACTGTTCTAATCAAAATTTATTAATCAGTACTTCTTTTTATGAAATCTGAAAAACACCGAATATTCGAATCTTAAATTCATGTTCGAATATCAACTCATCGAATGAATATTCGAATGTTCGAATATTCGTTGCCATCCCTAATATATATATATATATATATATATATATATATATATATATATATATATATATATATATATATATATATATATATATATATATATATATATATATATATATATATATATATATATATATATATATATATATATATATCCAAAATTGAAATAAAGTCTCAGTAATCGGATTACAATATTAAACAAATATAAAAAGAAAACACAAGAATCCTCCGTAAAGCTTTAGCGCTTTCATTAAAAATCTTCTGAAGATTTTTAATGAAAGCGCTAAAGCTTTACGGAGGATTCTTGTGTTTTCTTTTTATATTTGTTTAATATATATATATATATATATATATATATATATATATATATATATATATATATATATATATATATATAATACAAGGCTAGTGTCTTGAAATATAAACGATATTTTGGCAAGGGTAAGAAAACGTGATAGAGGGTTTGCCGAGCCCTCTATCACTTTTTCGACCAGAGCCCAAGTATACATGTAGTTTATATCTTAAAACAATATCCATGTATTTCCTTTATCTTGCAATATATTTTTAAATCAGACCTCCAAAACGAGCTATTTTCAATCGATTTAGGTACAGTATGATGCAATATATACGTACAAAATTGCGGCGTGTTTACATTCGCGATGAAAGTAGGTCAACATTGTAACTTGTTTATTTCATTTAAGAAATTGAAATCAAAAATAACTTACCTAGTACTTTGTAAGGTGACCCCTTAAGCGTATTACACTTAGTAACCGTCTCGGAATGGTCCTGTACATGCTCTTGACATACTCTTGTTTTATGTCGGTCCAGATGCGCTGGATTTCACGGAAGAGATGGTCTTTGTTCTCAATTCTCCCTATCCTTCCTTGAAGCTTTCTTTTAATAAGGAGCCATAGATTTTCAATTATGTTTATGTCTGGACTCTGGACTGGCCAGCTCATTGTTGAAATGCCGTTTCTGTGCAAATAATCCTGCGTTGAACGTGCACGGTGTACAGGAGCATTATCGTCTTGGAAAATATAACTTCCAGTCGGAAAATGACGAGCTAAATCTGGCCACAAATTGTCATCTAAGATTTTCTGATATTTATCAGCATTTATATTTCCATCCACTTCAAAAATAATGTCGACTCCATGCCAAGTGATACATCCCCAGATCATAACTTGGTAACATGATTTGGTCTTCCGCGCCTCTACCAAATCCGGCCTTCAACCCTCCCCCCGTTTTCTCCAAATATATACACGAGAGTCTTGTCCCATAATAATCTTGGATTCATCTGAGATTATAACTTTTCTCAAGAAGTTGTCAACTGTGAGTTTTCTCTTATTTCAACACCAAGATAAGCGCTTTCTCCTGTTAACCTCTCGAATTACCAGTTTTTTCTTTGCAACCCAACTCACGAATCCATGTTTTTGCAGATGTAATTGTTTAGCTTGTTTAGATATTGGCCGTTCTTTATTTTCATTGAATTAGTCCGTTATATTCTGTAAACTCTCTCTTCGGTGGGTTTTTACGAACCTTTCTAGCTTTAGTTAGTCTCGGGCTGTCACGATAGGTTTTTTGCCTCGTCTCGGGATTTTTTCTAAAAACCCTCGACGTTCTACACGCTTCTTAAAGCTTGCAATTGTAGTCCTGGACACATTCAATGTTTCTAATACGTAGCTGATAGTTTTTCTTTCTTGTAATAACTTCCAAGCGATTTCTTTTACCTTGTTGCTCAACTCCTTCCCTTTTCGCCCCATCTTGCTTCCGCTGGTTCAGATTTGTTTACGTAGCAGACGACAATAAAATCACGTGACACATGAAATGTCACATGATTAAACAATGTTATAAATAACTACCGAATTTCCAATCTATTTATAAACTACTTTATTTCCCCTATAAATAGGTCGATCGAAACGCGAATGTTAACACGACACAATTTTGTACGAATATAATAATATTGTATTGCATCATACTGTACATCTCTGCAGTTGAAACTAAGGCCCCACCAATAAAAATTTTTGTTCGGCTGACCCGCGCGCTCGTATTTTAGCAAAACTATACAAATAATATTAATTTTGATTTCCCGCATCATGGAAATTCTATGCTATTTTCTATTCCATTTCCACTCTATTTTCGTATTTTAAATCTGTTTATACTCTGCAAATCAGAAAAAAAAAATATAATTTTCCGCTCAAAATTTTTCACGCTCCGCCTAAAAAATTTGCCTACAAAAAAGTAATAATATTTTTTTAACCGCTTGCCCGCTCGTACTTTTTTTCATCAAATGTCAAGAACAAGAAATTACATTGGTGTGGCCTAAGACGCCAGGGCCTAAACATTGCAATGTATATGACGTCACAATGCTTTTAGAACGTCGGAAAACATGCGCGAGGCTTTATTAGGGCATTAACCGAATAAAGCTTTGAGGTTTTTTTTATTTGTTACCTTTATTAGGTCAATGCAAGGGGTAGTTGCAGGATATCTATCTATCTATCTATCTATCTATCTATCTATCTATCTATCTATATCTATATATATATATATATATATATATATATATATATATATATATATCTATAATACCTCATCTGAAGACTACTCCCTGAAAAATCGGAGCTACTCCCTGGGACTACTCCATCATGAATTTTTATTAATAATTTTAACGAATCTCGAGTCTGTGACGTAATGTTATTAGCAATGTAACTATGAAGTCAAAACATTTCGACATGCGATGTCAAAATCATACTGGAATTCTAGCAAAATGAAGACAACGATAATCCTTCGAAGTGTCAGTGAAAATATTATATATTTTTTAATAATTTTATTTTCCTCGGTATTGATGCATTAGTTATCTTACAATATTTTTAATCACATGGATTTGTGATTAATTAAATGCCTCTATATCGTTACAGAAATCTCTGAGTCTCCCATGATTGTTTCGGTATAATAAAACAGTTATGGAATGGGTGCTCGGGAAATAGCAAATTTATGGTTCCCCTCGGCAGGAAACTATAGTTTCCTCCATTAGGGAACCATAAATTTGCTATTTCCCGAGCACCCATTCCATAACTGTATAATACATATATCCTGATATTGAAAATGATTCACTCTTGATAAATTTGAATAAATGTTTAACTATAATAGCCACTCTTTCTATAAAAATGTAAGTCATATCATAAATCATCGCATGATATTGCCATCAGTTCCTCTTGAAATCAATTTAAAGTCAATTTTTTTCTTTCATCACTCTCCATTTGATTAGTCATATGTATACACTTTTAGCTTACGAGACGTGTAATTCTGATAGTCAGTGTCCATCAAGCTACCATTGCTGCACTGGTACAATATACTGCTGTCCAAGTGGTACCGTCTGCACAGGAACCATCAAATGTAGAAGTTTATGGTAAGGAGACAAGCTATAGAATGCTAGGGCATTTTTTGGGAAATAGAAAATACATACACAAATCTTATTTATTAAATCAAGAATGCATTGGCAAAAGAACAAGGTTTGCTTGGGGTCTTTTTTGCCCTGTGAATTTCTGAAAAATCTAAAATAATTCCCTGAGATAGTTTAGGAAGAATGAAATAAGGCTGAAAGAAATCACCTGATACAACTTGTACATTCTGGAGAGATCAGTAGTTGAACACCAACCATGAAACTGCTCAGTTTCAGTTGAAAAAAAATTCAAAATTAAAATTTCACTTGGACCCTTGATGTTTGCATATCTATAAGAAATATATATAAAATGGTGCAGTTTTCTCGCTAGTCCTTGTACCATGACGTCCTGAATTGCGTCATTATTCTCAAACCCTGCAAATTTCTTTAACCCTCTTACTGCCAGAAGTGTGTCAAAATTGTGCAGTTGATATGCCAGAACTTTCTTTTAAAAGTAACAGAATTATTTTAATATTTTTTAATAATAAGCAATAGTCTAAAGATTAATTCTTGATTGTAATAATTTAGATGTATAACTTAGAAAATAAGGAACACAATGACATCTCAATCTAATAAAAATTAGACTTGTTTTTTCGCTCCTCTACTATACGCTTCAATACCAGTTGCAACTTCTCGGGCCTTTCCGACTATCGGAGAAACAACCTCGAATGTATTACGCAGACGCCATGACAACCCCCTTTTCACAAACATTGAAATAAATGTGGGAAGACCTCTTATCCGTGGAGTATGGAGTTTAACTTTATTGAATGTAAAGATATTACCTAAAATATACTATAGAAGGGACTTTCAACTCCGTCTATCCAATACTTAAATAAATAGGAGTTTTAACATCCGGTGATTTTAATACATTCGAGGTTGTTTTTCCAACCTCTGACGGAAAGGCCCGAGATGATGCGATTATTTCAATACAATATCTTGTATTGAAGAGTATAGTAGAGGAGCAAAAATACAAATCTAATTTTAATTAGATTGAATGACATTTCAATTTCTGAGTTATGACGTCAGCTCCTTTGCTAATATTACGTCAAAGTCGTAAAAAATCCGCGTAATTTTGCAAAGTAAAAAATCATAATGTAAAAGAGTATATTTACATTTGCAAATATTTATCTTAGATGAACCTATTGAAGAGAAAATATGTTCAATTCTGTATGAACTTATTAGGGGGTCAGAGGTCATAGCGTGACCGAATCACACAGCGAGATGATATCTAGCGTATACATGTACATATTTCTGTCACGGTAAAACTGTTTTCTGAACTTCTAAGTTGTTTAAGTGATGAAAAAGATTAAATTATTGAAACAAATAGATTTCTAAATTCAACAAATGGTCATTAGATCTTTCTCCGGTGAGAAGAATGTTTTTAATTAGCGTAAAGTTCGTGCTTACCTTTTTAACCCGAAGTTCCTTGAAGGTATGTAAACTGAGGACGATAACACCACTTTTGACTTCATATATAAAGAACTTATACAATAATAGTAAGATTATTCTCAGTAGCGATCATTGTCCTTTCATTATAAACAGAGATATCCTGAACTGGACTGCTGAACATCAATGTAAATATTCAAATGTTGAGGCGAGGCGAACTTTAAAGACCAAAAAGCTTCTAGGTCATTGCGCGTCCCTACAAAGCAATACGACAGGCCGTTCTTGTAATATATGCAGTTCTGTTTGGAATATTCGTCTCAAATGTAAATGTATGTAAAAAACAACAATGTTAAAAAAATTTACTGGAAATGAACTTGGTTGGTACGTGATCAAATCTACTCAGAAGCCCTTCGAGCTTCACAGGATTTTATCACATGACCAACCAAGTTCATTTCCCAGTGAACTTTTTAACATTGTTGTTTATTTCTTTAATGAAAAATAAGAAACGTTTTTAACGTAATAATTTAGCTGAAAATGTATTTCTTTCTAATTTGTTTTGTTTTGTTTTGTTTTGTTTTTTTTTTTTTTTTTTTTTTTTTTTTTTGGCTTTTTGCCCATTAGCTTGTAAATGTCTCATCAAAAGGAGAGAAGGTAGCAAAATTAAAAGGTATTCTTATTTTATATTCAACACTATTTTATGGAAACGTTATTTCCTTTTGCTAGGAAAACGACTTATCTAAATAAGTCCCAATCCTCGCCTAGAAAAAAGGTTATTTCGACAAATAAATGCATTTATTCTGTATAATCTAAATGATCTGGATACAAAAATATTGAGATAACTCTTACGTTACCATACATTTAAAAAAAATATTTAAATCAATAATAATCAGAGATCAAAGACCAAAAACGAGAAACTCGTTAAATTATATATATTCTCAATGTTGCTGTGAGACGAACTCAAATACAGACATTTTATTATTTCAAGTGCATAAAAACAAGAAATTGTCATAAATGTGACAAGTAATTTCAAATAAGATGTTTATTACGAAAATAGATTTAGCGGAATAGCTGGGGGGAGGCTAGCAAACGATGCACACGTGTTACAAATGTTGGTGGGGGGGGGGGGTTCAAATGTAATCATATGTAACCAAAAAAAAATCTTTTAAGTCTTTTTTCTGCTTCTTTCGGTTTGTGAATAAAACTAAATTCGACGTTTGAATTTACCTGAATACTATACTCAGAAAAAAGTGGGGGCCCCGCGTTCCACGGGCCTGATAATTTAATTTACTTTCATTAAGTGTAAAAATGAGATGATTTCGCCTCAAAAATGCCTTCAAATTGTACAAGTATCTACCAATAGAAAGCATCTACATGTAGGTGCGTTATTAGCAATTTGCCCTGGACCTTTCTTGTTCTCTTATTGATGGAAATGTTGATATTAAGGTCGGTGGAAAATGACGAAAACTTTCAAGAGTACAACTAAAGTACTGAGAACATGAATAATGTTATAGATATTTATTTCAGTGGCGTAGCTAGGTAAATATAATGTGGATGCTTTTCTGATTTAAGCTAAGGGGTATGGGGCAGCATTAAACCCTTCCCCCAGCTGGTCGGGGGTGGGGCTCAACAGAAAGTGACATTTAGGAGTGTTAGATCGAGTCTCGGAATGTGCAGTGTGAGGATAATGCAAAAGAATTTATCTTTGAATACTGAAATAAATTTATTAAAATACGTTGAACTTCTCTATTCAAAGAATTTTGTATTAGTCTTCCTTTTTCTTTTCTTTTTCTTTCTTTCTTTTCTTTTTTCTTTAAGTAATCTGGATGCTCTGACATGCAAGCATATATAGTAGCTATGCCACTTAAGTTTATAAAGCCCCAGAAATATATTAATCCCTCTATATTCTTCCCAGTATTTTGTCTCGTTACTACTATTAAAGTGATAGAGGTATACATGCACAAAGTACGAACGCTTTCAATCGCTCAGAAACATCGGAATTTCGGAAATCAAAAGTGTTTACAGGAACGGATCCATCAATATTTAACATTATTATACTTTCATGTTAAATACTAAAATCTGATTGGTTTAGACGCATTTAACAATCCGTAATGTTACCCTCAGCGTTAGCAACACACTTGACAACGGGTAACATTACGAAAATATCACATGCGTTCAAATCATGCGCGTACGGTTCACCATAGAATTCTCAAAGCGTCAGTTGTGCGTTTGAAAGAAGCCGAATAAACGACGTCAATAAAAGCTTGCGTCCGATGTAGCTTACTTGAAAACAACAAACGACAGACGAAACATCCTTGCGAATGCAAACTTTAGACGATAAAGGACTTTTTGAGTAGCAAACAAACAATAAAAAGGTTGGTAAATCTTTTCCGAAGCTTTTTTATTGAGAAAAATAGAAGCGGGGAGTTTGAAAGCTTTCTAAGCGTGAACTCAACGACGATCTCCGAATTTTTCTTTTGACATCCGAAATCAATAAGACATTCAGTATAATAAAATAAATAGTGCACGTTTTTGAGGGTAACAGTTGAAATTGACACCCCTCGGAAAACCATTGTCAACCTCCGCTGACGCGTCGGTTGACAATGGTTTTCCTTGGGGTGTCAATTTCAACTGTTACCCTCAAAAACGTGCACTATTTATATAATAGTTGGTGCGGGCGAATTTTTTTTTCTTCTTGTGACATCCCGTCCTCATCGGGTTTACAAATGTACAGCATAAATCAAGCAAGTATTCAATACCTGTACATCTGTAGATACATATTAAATTTGAAGGATTTGAAACAAGGATGTACATGTACTGCTAGAGAGATCATAAATATACGGGTATTTTTTCGAGATGAAATTTATGCTGTTTTCTTTGAGACAGCTGGGAGCAACTTCCTTATGCTCAGGTCAAATTTAGCCGTCCTTCTATAAACTCCCGACACTGATGTAATATGCATTGCAATAATGCTAAATAATGGAATAAATCAGCAGCGCACAACCACCGAAAACAGTCTCGCGAGAAAAAAATCTTGAGAAAATTCTCAACTCAAGTCTTGAGAATTACTCAGCTGAGAATATTCTCAAATCTCCGGGTAGCATACTTTATATTGTAAATGGTGTCAGTGACGATCTTCAAGCAGATACTGCCAGGAACCGACCCATTTCTCCACTGATCCAAGTTCTACTGTTTCTACGTTTCGTGGCTACAGGGGCACACTTAAGAATTATTAGAGACAGTCTTAACGTTTCAGAATGTACCACTGGAAGGGTTGTTAAAGCAGTAGAGAGGGCCATCATTGAAGATTTTAACAATCTGATAAAATTTCCTGTAGGTGAAATAGCGACCAAAGTCAAGGAAGGATTCAGAAGAATTGCGGGTAAGACCTATAATTTGGGGGGAAAATACTCCAAACATCGTTCTTTGTTTTTAGTGAGATATATGCAAATCTTTAAATACACTACATGACTGAAAGATTACAAAAACAACAATTAAGTAAAAAAAACAACAACACTCGAAAGAATACTTAATTTTCTGTAAATTTATGAAAAATCCCCTTACAGTCAATTGCATTTTTCCCGTCGGCATTTACAGAAGATAGGAAGAGTTCCACTAAGGACCATAACTGTATTTAGTGCAATAGTGTAATTAGGTGGTGGATTCAACACAAACTTTCAAAACAAAGCTGTTCTGTTTGTTATTTGTCAACGTTGACAATAAAGTGTAATGATATTAAAACTATATATATTAACAATACTTAGTGCAAAATAAATACTAATTTAAATTCTTGTAGCACATTTGAAAAAAAATACTACTGTTAATTTTTTTAAAACTTTGTTTTCTTTCAAATAATTGTTTTTCTTATTTCCATTTATATATCCTCTATGTTTTTACTGCTGTGTTAGAAAAAAAAGCAAGTTAAATGATGTTGGGCTGGGTATTTTCTGTAAGAAAATCATCAATAATGGCAATTTAAAAAAAAGAGAAAGCAAAAAATGAAATAAATATTTTTGTTAATTACTTTGATATATGAATTTTAAATGAGTTTAAGGTACATATGTATTGTTAAAAAAATACAGAAATGGTTTGGGTTGTTCTTGCTAGAAATAAGTAAATAAATGTTCATGTAATTTGTATTCCAATATTTTAGCCATACAACCCTCATACCTTTAATGTCCTCATATAATTAAAGTTGAAACAATTATTATTTCATGGACAGGTTTTCCCAAAGTTTTGGGTTGTATTGATGGAACCCAGATAAGAATTCAAGCTCCATCACTGAATGAACCGGATTATGTGAACAGGAAGGAATTCCATAGCCTCAATGTTCATGTATTTAAAAAATCGGAAGTTTAATCCTTTTAAATTTTTTTTTTAAATTTAAAAGGATTAAACTTCCGATTTTTTATATAGTAGTTAGAATATATATTAAGTTGGTTTGACCATAATATTTCATTGTAGAAGCTCAGTTTCTTTGGCATTATGAATAGACATCAGACCTTTTTAATTTAATGAGGGATGTCAGTTACAGCTGTATTTCAAAAATTAATCATAAAAAGGAAATTAGAATAATAAATAATTATTAACATATAATATTTTTAAAATATATGTTTAAATACATGGATTTCTTTAGATGGTCCCACCTTCAAGGTGACCTCACTTTGTGCCAGGTGGCCTGGATCATGTCACAGTTCGAGAATTTGGAGAAATTCACACCTTTACCAACAGTTTGAAAATATGGTACATCTTCAAATTATATAATGTAACTACAATGTACATGTAATATGTTTCTCTATATGAATACTTTTCCTGAATTGCATTGATTATGTACTAGTTTGACTTAAGCATGCATTTATACCCTCTTTTAATATTCAGGGTTACATGATGGGATTCTGCTTGGAGATTCTGAGTACCCCCTTACAAGATACCTCATGACACCCTATTTAGCACCGGCGACACAGTCTGAGGAGAGGTATAATGCCAGTCTACGCCAGACTCGTGTCTTGATTGAACAGACCTTTGGCATCATGAAGAGGAGATTCCAACCTCTCCAAATCGGGTTCAGGGTATCCCCAGACCAAGCAGTACAGTTCATTACAGCTTGTGTAATACTCCATAATCTAGGAATTGACAGAGGAGATATTTGTGTGCAGCAGAATTTAACAAACATTGATGTTGCTGCCTGCATCCAGCAAAATATTCAGGAACCTGGACAAGTCCGCAGCGATGGGGTATTATAGAGAGCAGCAATTACACAGGGATTTTTCTAGAAGAAATATTAATGCAAACTAGATCTAGTGTCCCTAGTTTAAATCAGGTATAAAATTAAGCCAAGTCAGAGAAATTTTTTTAATTTATGAACTTTTTTATGAAAAGAGGTCCAGTTTTGCTCTCTCTCTCTCTCTCTCTCTCTCTCTCTCTCTCTCTCTCTCTCAATGTACATGTATTTTATTTCAGAAATTCCAAGGATAAAAGAGACCCATGGGCCACAATGTTCACATAATTCAAACCAACTTGAATCTGCACTACTTGATTTGTTAAAACCAGAAGTCTGATAAGATTGTAGCTCTACTGCATAGTCTACTTGTGTACAAAGTCTTATTGAAATCAGAATTAAACTCTAAGAAGAGTATCAATTTGAAAGAAAAATCCCATAAATTTCTATTTTAGTAACCATGACAACACCTTAAGGACAGACAGAAGGACAGACAGCTATAGGCAGACGTCATGGACAACAGTGATCAGAAAAGTTTGTTTAAACTTTTGGTTCATATGAGCTAAATAAAGGTGAAATAAAAGCATATTTAAAGTTCTGATGAAATATGGACCAACATTTCAGGTTATGTTGTTTGAATGTCTAACAGAAGCCTCTGCTTCTTCAGGGTGAGTACCTCCTTCTGGATGTTCAGGACTTCCTCTCTTGTTTCACCTTAAGGATCTCCTCCTCTAATCTTTCATTGTCTAGCTTTAAATTTCTTTCTTCCAACTCTTCGAGTTTTCTTTTATTGGGTTCACCTGTTTGATTAAATTACAAAAGCGTTATATCTAAAATTTAAGTTGTTTTTTTTTAATTCTTTATTTTCGTTCAATTGGCTTTACGTATTACAGGTATATTAACATTTTTTCATCTTCTTTGTTGACCATTTAGAAATGATTCAATAGACAAGTGTTCCACTGCTGAAAAAAAAATCGCTTAAATACTGCTTTGTACTATTTCAATTTGTGTTTTAAAGCTTTGACTAATTATCAGCAGATTGAAAAGAAGTTATACAATTTAGATTTTTAAAATAAAAAATATGCTACATCATACTGAAACAGATATTGGACTGTCTTTGTTTAACTACATTTATTTTTGATATATATTATAATCTATAAAATAAAATCTATGTAATTGAACCTTTTTTTCTTTTTTTATTTGATATGAGAGAGAGAGAGAGAGAGAGAGAGAGAGAGAGAGAGAGAGAAGTACGTGCTACATTTTGCTGACAAACCTTTCTTTTCCTTTCTTTTATGTCTAGCAGATGACATTTCTACATCTTGCCTTTCTTGCAATTGGGTGTTAGATGAAGAATCTCAATCTGCAAAATTATTTGTCAAATGAATCTTAAAGAATTCTTGTTTTGAGAATTGAAGCTTGAACTGCATAGGAAGACTTTCTTTATTTCTGTCTTTTCACGAAGAATTTGACAGATAAACATTCACTAAACTAATAATCAACATCATTGTGCATTGTCACGTTAAATTTTTGTCCTAATTTTCCAGTCCATATACATAATATTTACATAATTAAGAACAAATCACATTACCTTGTGCATTTATCCCTGCGTTTTCTTCTTGGACATTTTCAGGGACTGTGATGGCATTTTTTTAAGGAACAGGGAATAAGATTGCGTATATATGTATATTTATTGTATATTTGCTCGAAGTTATTTTTTTCACTCTTTACAATTATAAAAGAAAATACTTGTAATAATTATTTCTCTGCTAAAATGTATAGGAAGTTAACAGTCTTTACTTCTTGTTTTGATATTATAACATTTTTTCTTGATTTCCTCCCAACTCTCTGGTGTCAAATTGTCTGCAAATATAACAATGCTTAAATATTTGATCCACTCCCATTTTCATGTTTATCTGAGCGTGGATCTAAAAATAGAAATAACTTAAGAATGGAAAATCCCATTTCCCATTTTCTAATCTTGTGAGAAAGGTATTAACGTGATCGTATTTCAGCTGCCGTTATTTTCTACAGCTGATTGAACAATTAGTGATGACCGATTTACAAGATATAATATGCAAATGAAAGTATATGTATGTTTAATGTTAGTTAAATAGTAAAAGTCTGTATATTCTTAACCCGTTTTTGATAGTCTAAAGCTGAAAAATGATAATTATATTTAAAAAATAAATTACTCAATGAATCTACATTAAACAAACTACTTACGAGTTTAGTTTGTTGGCAATTGATCATGACTGCCATTCTTTTTCTTTTATTTATTTACCTTCCCCTTAACTCCGCTCCCTTTCAATGCCCCAAAAAGTGTGGTTGCCCTCGATCTGATCTCTTCAATAAGGGCAACCTCCTCATCACTCCCCAAGTCTGTCCCCGTTTTTTGTCCATTGTGTTGTAAAACGTATGTGTATGTATAAAATGTAAAGCAGACGATGAAAAATTTATTTTTATTTACATGTAACTACACATATATTCTTACCTTTCTGGCGCCAAAGAGCTCCACAAGGCCACTTCAAACATCGAAAAATTTTCATTTCCAAAAAATTCTCAACTCAACTCTTGAGAATTATTTAGCTAAGAATATTTTTAAGTCGTTTTATGACGGCGGTTTTGAGAATATTCTTAGCTGAGTAATTCTCAAGAGTTGAGTTGAGATTTTTTTTTTTTTTTTTTGAGAATTCTCAAAGTTTTATGATGGCGGACCCAAGTCATTACAGAGATTGGCTCTTACACAGGTAATGGTAGATATGCATGATCTTTTTTAGGTCAATAGTTGGTCCTATCATCGGTGCAGTGGTCCTTTTTATAAGCATTATTGGATGCTGTAAGCGTTGCTGTAAGTATCAATGTTCGTTTTCGTATTACGTATTTAATTATGATCGTCTAAAATTCCAGCCAACATGATAATAAAAAAGACAAATCTAACAATACATCTATATTCAGTGTTTATGTTCAACAAGATACTGCTATGTTTTGATGGTGCATAAACTAAAATTTATAGAACATTTATCATAACGATATTTCTTTGATTTTCATTTTCATGTTCCAAAAAGACTTGAAACGCCTACATTAGTAATCTTTTGTCTGAAAAGTATAATTTCTGTGGAAAAAAGAACCCTCGTTTGACATTTTACATTTTGAAACATTATATGCACGAAATGCAAATAAAAAAAAAAAAAAAAAAAAAAAAAAAAAAAAAAAAAAAAAAAGGAAAAAAAAAGAAAGAAAAAGGAAGGAAATTGCCCTAGCCTGATGATAAGTTTATCCTACTTGTACAGGTTACCAAAAGAGCCAGGAACCGCCTCCACCAGTTGTCTACGGACAACAACAGCCAGAAGTTGCAATCGCACAAGAAACATATGGACAACCTCAGGCTTACGGACAACCTCCAACTTACGAGCAAGGTTACGGACAACCTCAAACAAATGGACAAGGTTACGGTACACCGGGTGCATTGCCGCAAGATACGACAGATTACAAAGTAAAGTTGTAGACGAGGAAAGAGAAAAATGATATTGTCATCTATATTCTCCCTGTATTTATGATATGTATCAGTGAAGTTGTACAAGAACAAATAATTACGTTTTTTCCAATCAAACAGCGCTGAACCCATTCACTTTTTATAGTAAATATCATTAAAAATCGTCTCGAGAACAGCAAAGCCAAGATTAGTCATATTATAATAGAAATATCCTCAGGTAGTGTTGAAGTTTGTTCCATTCAGGACCCCTGGGCTTAGAGCAGGACCACAAGAGGGCGTCAAGATTTACTATAGGAATATATAAGAAATATCTTTAAAAATCTTCTCAAGAACAGTTAAGCCATTATATTTTTAGTCATATTAATATGGAAGTATTCTAAAGTAGACAAGATTCAAGTTTCTTCAATTCATGACCCCCGAGGGTAGAGCAAGGCCACAACAGTGGGTAAGAGTTTTACATAGGAATATATAGGTGTAATGGTTAAGAGACATTTGTGTTAAACTGAAGACTTCAAATAGTGGAATGACTTGACAACTCTTGGAATGGACCAGCCAAAGGGTATATAAGGCAAAGCTTTGGGAAATTAGGTATTCAGAAGCTAGGAGAAGAAGTTGGCCGTTAAATAAGCAATAAAGAAGGGTAAGAGCAAAATAAAAGTATGAAAGTTATAAGCACCAGTGGCAAGTATCCTTGGGAATTAATGTTAAGTTCTGGGTGTAGTTAATCTGAAGAAGATTGAGACATCCAGTTCTTATCTATAAATAAATGTAGGAACCTAGAAAAGAAACATGGTACAAATAGTACATTCACACAGTCCCCGTCTCTAGATAAGAGAAAAAAAATTAAGTACTGTGTGATTAACCCTCAGACAAAGCAGTCTTAATAATCATTCCAATGATTAAATCAGACAGAGTAAACTGAAAACCTATAGAGCCTGATCATACATGTAACATAGGAAATATCTTTAAAAATCTTCTTCTCAAGAAGAATTAAACCTTTATTAGTCATATATATACAGAAGCTACCTTAGGTACTGTAGAATCAAGTTTGTTCAATTTATGACCCTAAAGGGTTGGGGGCACAACAGAGGGTCAAAGTTTTACATAAGAATATACAGGAATCTTCTTGAAAAAAACAATTTGCTCAAGAATAGCAATAGCAATAGGTAGTGAAGATTCAAATTCGTTCAAATTTAGGATGGGTAGGGTGGGCCACGATGAGCGGCCAGAGTTTTATACGTAGGAATACATAGGGAAGAAATCTTAAAATTCTTCTGTTTAAGAACAGAAAAGTCTTGATTAGTAATATTGATATGGAAGTTAAATTTAAGTTTGCCCCCCCCCCCCCCCGGTAAACTTATCAATACTGAACTGATTTCTGTTTTTCCCTAGCCAATGTACCCAGGTGAGCCATGTGGTCCATGGGCGTCTTGTATTTATTTCTGTTCAAAACAATTCATTTTACTCATATGGTCATTTATTGCACGAATAAAATGTATAAATGTGCAGTACATGTAGATCATGAAATAAAATTACATTTATCCGTTCTCTGTTGTATTTAAAACAATATTTTGAAATTTGAATATCACTTTGTTGTCTTGTAACTTGTTGACTCAATAATATTCTGCAACAGTACAATATTTCCGTATTTGATATTATCAAAATTAGCGAGGGTAATTTTATCGAATCAGAGTTTTTGTTGAATATGCCAAAATTTTACAGCATTTAACAGATGTAAAATGCAAAGAAATGCCAATAATTTGAAGAGAGACGAATTTTTAAGTGAATTTTTATAAAATAATAATCTTTATCAATTTAACTCAAAACCCTTGTGTTTTAAAAATTGGATACAAAGTGGTATTTTGTATATTAAAGATATATTTGACGAATCAGGGGAAATGTATGATATCAATTATTTTTTAAACAAATTAAAACGAAAAAATAATATATCATGTGAATATTATATGCTTAAAAAAGCTGTTAAAGAGTATACACAAAAGTTTCACTGTTCCTATGCTAAATTCGTGAAAGTAAAACCAAACATATATTTTCTATTTAAAAAACAGGCTGTAAAATCAATACGAGAGATAAGAAGCAATTTTTATTACTCTATATTTATTGGTATGAAATTTCAAAAACCTTTATTTGAAAACAGATGGAAAAAAAATATTTAATGTTCAGGATGGTTGTATATGGAAAAATATTGATAAAAACAAGATTTCGAATATGTACGAGAAGAGAAAATCAGAATTTAATTATAAATTATTACATGGTATTTTGAACAACAATTTTTCTGTAAGCTAGTGGAACAAAGATATTTCTCCTTTGTGTGAAAATTGTGAAATTGAAGATTATACAAAACATCTCCTGTTTGATTGTAAAATTATTAAACCCATATGGGAAAAAGTGAGCCTAAAATTTGACATTATTTGGAAATTAATTGCACTTGGATTTTATAATGAAAGTAGTGAAAAATCTTTGCTTTTTAATAATTTGTTAGCATTTATTAGCTTCACTATGTATAAATATAAGATGAAATGTAGATTACAAAATGAGAAATTGTCTGAGGAAAATCTCCTACATAGGTTGAAATATATGCTTTATATTCAAAATGATGTTCTTAGGAAGATTGGTCAGATTAGAAGTGATATTTATCATGATTTAGCTGATATATATATATATATATATATATATATATATATATATATATATATATATATATATATATATATATATATATATATATATATATATATATATATCATAATGATATTGACTACTATGCACTACTATGCATCTTTGTATATTTTTACCTAATACTAATATCTGATATGACGTTAATATTGATATTATGATATGTTTGTGACTTATTATGATTTTAATAAAAGGGAAAAAAAACTTGTTGACTAAGGTTTGGGATCGCTCTGGATGAATAGACTGGCATTTTCACGTCAATGATCTAACTATTCACCATATATTTGAATTAAACGCAAACGATCTTTTACTCACTACATGTTTCATTTGGATGTTGCATGAATCTCTGGTAAGTATCTAATACGAACTCAAAGGAATGACCCCAGACATGCCCCCCCCCCTAAAAAAAAAGAAATATAAATAAATAAGTAAATAAGACATCCCCCCCCCCGAAAAAAGAAATATAAATAAAACATAACCCCCAATAAAGAATTCACCAACCAAGAAGCCTCTGATTAATCTGACCTATCTGCCGCCACACCTATTTTCCATAAGCTGATATTGTGTTGAGGAGAGAAGGTTTTAATATTTTCTTTCACCAACTCCCAAATGTGTTCAATAGGTTTGAAATCCGAGGAATTAGCTGGCCACGGCATTAAGTGGGTGTTTTTGCTGTAAGAAACTGTTATTAACAGTTTGATAAGTTGATAACTTAATAAGTTGTTCTAGAACTTTTTACTGTTACAGGGTGCATTATTTTGTTCTTTAATCATACCTCTGTTAACTGTGGCATGCGGGACAAGGACTAATGTAAGAATGTCATTCCAATACCTAATTGTTGTAACACCACCGTTAATAAGATTATACTGAGTTTTCATGTGCATCAATACTCCGGCTCAGACCATGATACATCTAGTACCACCACTATCGATCATGCCCATCACCTCAAAACAGACAGCATTATGACGTTCTCCTCGTCGACAATACACTTTTCTCCTGCTAACTGGACTTCGTAATTTTTTGTTTTATAAATGAATTAGAGGACTTGTGTTTGGGTCAATTAAAAATCTTCTTTTCAAGAATCACAGGGTCAGAAAGGATTACAATTATGTGAACGCTTCCTGACATCGTGTAGATTTAATTCAAATCATCCCCCCTGGGGGATCAAAGTTTTACATGGGATTATATAGGGGTAAAAGTTTTAAAAGTCTTCACAAGAACAGCAGGGCCTTGATTAGTCTTATAAATATTCTAGCATCTATAAATTGTGATGATTCATAATATTTTTATTTCAAAATCTTTTTTTGAAGAACAGCATAGTGAAGGTGACACAGGTGAGTACTGTGGCCGATGGGCCTCTTGTTTTCTTTAAACCATCAATGAAAATTTGAAAATGCTGAACTTTACATGTGTGTAAAACATTATGAAAACCATGATTACAGTGACATAAATCCTACCATTTTGTATTTGTTAACTCTTTTTTTTTGCAAAATTTAAATGTCATATGATATCATATTTAGTATTTCTTTCTATCATTTAGTGAATGTAATTATCAAAATGAGATGAAGGGTTTTACACGTATTTCCATATTTTGATGGAACAAATTACATGTAATCTGGAAGAATGGTAGGAAGTGTATTTGTTGAATTACATATAGTTGTTATGTTGTATAGATGAACTGTATATCTCATGTGAGGTGTGTGCGTATTTGTGAAGAAAATGCTTAAGGTCCATTGATGTTCTGATAAGAGAGATAACTCTTAATGACATAAATGTCCAGTATCTTTTTCTAGATTTGCCAAGTTGAAGTATCGTTTTTGTCCAATTTTGCCCTACAACTATGCTACAATTGTTTGTAATTTACTTTTAAAATACATTTCTTTGGGAAAATCATTGAGGTTCAAGCATCATTTTATGTGAATGTTTTCTTTGTTTATGTTTAACGTCCCTCTCGAGAATTTTTCACTCATATGGAGACGCCACCACGTGCAGGTGGAAAGCTGCAAATTTTGACCTATACTAGGCACTCAGGGCCATTGAACAGTGAGGGATCTTTTTCGTGCCAGCACGTACTGCGACACGGGACCTCGATTTATACGGTCTCATCCGAAGGAACGGTCTCCACGTCCCACAGTGGGATTGGATCCTGCGACGTAATGATCAGCTCCTAACTCTGCGACTCTAGAGCGAATGCTCTAACCACTGCGCCACGCGGACGACTTTTTTTACGAGTGAGCAGAGGGTTTATGAAAATTACTATGCTTACTTTGTACAAATTCCACAAGAATATTATTTGTCGATGACACAAAAAGTTTGTTATTCTTTTATGTGAATTATGCATATTATTAATTAATATATACGTGTTTCCGCAGATAATGGTAGGGATCATATATCTAAAGCAGGAAATTAAATATGTTTAATGGGAAACTTTAAGTGAATAATGCCATGACATATTTTTTTTTTATTTTACCAAATAAAAAAAAAGAATAAATCGGCTGTGAATATATCATCTTTACAAAAACGTGTTACATGTATTTCAATGGACGGAGGATATGACTGAATCCTATCTTAACCAATGTAAAGAATTTAAAATAAATCACGCATGTATTAGATGTATTTTGATTTTTCAGCACTGGATTCAGATGGCACCTGTAGCAGTGATAGTGACTGTCCGCTCTCATTTTATCATTGCTGTTCCGGAAATATTTGGTGTTGTCCTTCCGGGTACATTTGTACCGGAACTGCAACCTGTATTAGTATCGGGTACGTATAGATTTATTAATACAAACTGTGATGTTAAATATCTTGCTTATTATAGTTTTTTTTTTCTGGGTGTAATTTTTGTGCTAAGACCACTCTTGACAATCATTTCAAAATTTAAAAAGTTATCCAAAGATAATCATGTACACCGTACCAGTAGGAAATGTTCATTTTGTGGTTATATTTTGACTAACACTAATGTACATCAAATTTACGTACGAGAGAGAGAGAGAGAGAGAGAGAGAGAGAGAGAGAGAGAGAGATTGCTAAATAATCGATTAAATGAAATGTCTTCAGACGTA